AATTGCAACCTGTTTAAATGAACACCACTCTCTGCAGTTTGACTTGCAGGTGGTCAACAAATTTCAGTAGAGGGGTGAGAAGAACCACACGTAAGTGTCACTGCAGGTATTTCTGAGATAAGGGGTTCTCCTGCATACAACTGATGTCTTCACCAATGAGATCTTCGAGTTCTGGTCACGTCGTCAAAGGCTGTTGGCCCCCTCAGAGGTTTCACTGTTGGCGTAAGTCAGGTTGCAGCTCTATCATCATAAGCCTGTCTGACATTGCTCCTGTGAACTTGAAGAAACCCTGGACTCTCTTTTCTCAGGTCTCGTGCTGGAAACTGCACGGGGTGGCACTGTAGCTTCCTGCCTTCTCTCATCTCCCCACGGAAATTGTTTCTGTCTGAGGCATGTTGCTGTCAAACATGTTGGTATCAGATTTTAGACTAGAAGGGTCAGTAGTAACAGAGCAAATTTCATCTAATACACCACGAAGCCACACGGTGAATCAAATCGTGTTGTTCTCCAGGAACAGGGACAGGCCCTCTGTCATTTTGTCCTGACTGTTCTTGTTGGCCACCATCAGCATAACGGATCAGGAAGTTTTTCACTGAACAATGGCGGAAGCAACTGCCAGAAAGCCCCAAACATCCCATATGCAAATATTCAACACAAGTTCCTAATTCTTGCAATTTCTCCTTCATGGCACCTTGAACCTTGGGGCGGATGTCAGTGCTGATCTCCAGGGCTCCCTGGCAGGTGGCCAAGGTGCTTCCCTTGCCCCGCCCAGAGCTGGCTGGCAGTCCCCAGCCCCATGGCCACAGCTACCACCACTTCTGGCTCTATTGTTCTCAACAGTGTCTTGGGAAGAGCAGAAATTTTCAATTTTGATGAAGTCTAGTTTAATCAATTTACTCTTCTACAAGTAATGTTTTTGGTGTCACATGAAAGAAATATTTTTTTTTCTAGAAGCTTTCTAGTTTTAGGTTTTACATTTGGGTCTCTGATTCATTTTGGGTCATAACTTTTGTGTGTAATGAAGGTATGGATTAAAGTTCATTTTTTGAAAAGATAGATTTATTCATTTATTTGTTATAGAGAGGGGAAAGGAAGGAGTAAGAGAGGGAGAGAAACACTGATGTTGGAGAGGGACGTGGATTGATTGCCTCGTGTACTTGCCCTGACAGGGGACTGAACCAGCAACACAGGCATGTGCCTGACTGGGAATCAAACCAGCAACCTTTCATTTTGTGGGAGGATGCCCAACCCACTGAGACACACCAGTCAGGCAAAGTTTATTTATTTATTTTTTAGTGTATGAATATCCACTTGTTCCAGCATCATTTATTGAAAAGACTACCTCTTCTGCCCCTCGTGCCAATGAATTGACTTTACACCTTTGTTGAAAATCAGTTGTCCACATATGTGTGGGTGTGTTGCTGGACTCTCTCTGATCCACTGATTCGTTTATTTTGACATCTAAACCACACTGTCTCAATTACTTTAGCTTTATAATAATATGAAAATAAGGTAGAGTTCAGTCTAAAACTTAGTTCTTCTTTTTCATAGTTGTTTCGCTATTTTATTTTTTTTGCATTTGCATATGAATTTTAGAATCAGTTTGTCAATTTCTGCAAAAAAAATCTTCCAGGACTTTGACTAGGATTGCAGTGTATCAACATGGGAAGACTTGACATCTAAGTGATACCGAGTCTTCTGACCCATGAATAGGCGGGAACTGTGCCTCATTGTTTACTTAGGTCTTTAGTTTTCTCTCAGCAACATTTTGCAGTTGTGAGTGTACGTCGTATCTTACATCTTTGGTCTGATTTATTCCTATTTCATTTTTGATGTTATTATGAATGACTTTATTTCTTAAATTGAATTTATAATTTTTTGTTGATAATATATAGGAGTACAATAGATTTTCATAGGCTGATCTTGTATCCTACAAACTTGCTAAACTGACTAATTGGTTCCAGTCACTCTTTGGTACATTTCAAAGGATTTTTCTTTTCCTTTCTTTTTAAAAACACTTTATTGAGATATGACTAAGACAATAAGCTGTACATATTTGCTGTATACAGCTTGATGAGTTTAAAAGTAATACCTATCACCTCCAAAAGTTTCTGTCTGCCCTCTTTAGTTTTTTGTGTGTGTGTGTTATAACAGCACAACATAAAATTTACCTTCTTAGTAAGTTTTTAAGGAAACGATAAAATAGTGTTACTGTGGCACACAGTAGATCTCTAGAACTTACTCATTTTGCATGGCTGAAACTTTGTGCCCTTTGACCAATGCCTGCTTCTCTGTTTCCCCCTTTCTCAGCTTCCGGTAAACAGCATTCTGCTCTTTGCTTTTAGGAGTTTGAATACTTTAGATTTCAGAGAGCTTTATATATAGACTATCATGCCATTTGAGAATAAAGCAGTTTTATTTCTTTTTCAATCAGAATAACTTTTAATTTCTTCCTTGCCTTTTTTTGCCCGGGCTAGAATCAATGTTCACAGAAACAATGTTAAATAAAAGTGGTAAGAATAAACACCTTTGTCTTGCATTTGACCTTAGGAGTTCAGCAGTCTTTCACCATTAAGCATGATGTTACGTGTGGGATTTTTGTAGATGCCCTTTATCAGGTTGAGAATGTTCCCTTCTGTTCATCATGCACTGAGAGGTTTTTGTTTTTTGTACAGTAATGGCCATTAGATTTATTAATATTATAAATTACTTTAATTTTTTTGAATGGTAAAACAACCTTGTATTCCTGGGGTAAACCACACTATATAATGTATTATTCCTTTTATATATTATTAGATTTGATTTGCTAAAGTTTTGTTTTGAATTTTAAAATCTATGCTCATGTAAGACATTGGTGTGTAGTTTTCTTTTCTTGTAATGTCTTTGTCTGCTTTTGTTATCATGAAAATGCTGGCTATGTAGAATGAATTGGGAAGCATTCCTTCCTTTTAAATTTTCTGTAAGAATTTGTATAGAATTAGTGTTATTTCTTTGTTAAATGTTTGGAGAATTTACTAGTGAAAGCACTTGGGCCTGGAGTTTTCTTTCAGAGAAGATTTTAAACAATAACCAACAAAATTTCTTTAATAGAAATAAGGCTATTAAGATGATCTATGTCTTCTGGAGTAAGCTTTGGTAGCTTGTATTTTTTAAGAAATTTTACCTAAATTATTACATTTATTGACATAAAGTTACTCATATATTTTCTTATTATCCTTTTAGTAAGAAAGGATAAATATTCTCTTGGTAAATATTCCAGGTTTACTTGGAAATCATGTATATTCTGCTGTTGTTGGATACAGTTTTTTATAAATATCAAGTAGGTCAAGTCGGTTGATGTGGTTTTCAAATAATTTATATCCTTATTTATTTTCTATCTACTTGTTTTATCAATTACTTAGAGAGATATATTGAAATGTTAGACTTTAATTAGGAATTTAACTATTCTCTGCAATTCTAGCATTTTTGCTTCATATATTTTGAAGCTCTGTTATTAGGCACATGTGCATTTAGAACTGTTATGTCCTCTTGTTGACCTCTTTATCATAATGAAATGACCTTCTTCACGTCTGGTAATATTCTTTGCTCCAAACTCTATATTGTGCTATATTAATACAAACATTGCAGCTTTCTTCTGGTGAGTATTAGCATGGCAAAATTTTTCCTATCCTTTTAGTTTTAACCTATTCATGTATTGATATTTAAAGTGCATTTCTTCTAAGCAGCATATAGCTGACTCTTGCTAGTTTAAAACAATTTTTTAAATTTTTGTTCAAACCAATCTGACAATCTCTATCTTTTATTTGGGATATTTAGATTACTTACATTTAAATGCAGTTATCCAACTTCTCCAAGGACATACAGAGGGCCCATAGACATATGAAAGAATGTTCAGCATCACTAGCCATCAGAGACATGAAAATTAAAACCACAGTGAGATATCCCTTCACACCAATCAGAATGGCCATCATAAGCAAATAACAAAAGGGAACCCTAGTGTACTGTTGGTGGGAATGCAAACTGGTGCAGTCACTGGGGAAAACAGTATGGAATTTCCTCAAAATACTAAAAATAGAACTACCTTTTGATCCAGTGATTCTACTGCTGGGAATATACTCTAAGAACCCTGAAACACCAATTCAAAAGAGCCTATGCACCCCTATGTTCATAGCAGCACTATTTACAATAGCCAAGTGCTGGAAACAGCCTAAGTGCCCATCAGTAAATGAGTGGACAAAAAAAAAAACTGTGTTACAATTTACACAGTGCAATACTACACAGCAGAAAGAAAGAAGGAGCTCCTACCCTTCACAACAGCACGGATGGAACTGGAGAGTATTATCCTAAGTGAAATAAGCCGGGGAGCAAAAGACAAATGCCATATGATCTCACCTACAAGAGGAAACTAATGAACAAAATAAACAAACTAGCAAAATAGAACAGAGACATGGAAACAAGGAACAGACTGACAGTGACCAGAGGAGGGTCACTCTATGAACTCCCCTGTCTACTTTCCCAGGTGATAAAGGTCCATGGTGGGGACAACGCTAGCATTTCTAGCATCAGTAGACTTGTCTCATCCAAAGTCAGAACAAATTACTAAAGGGAAACATGATTGGTCTAACACTAAGAGTAATTATTTCCTTGAAAAGAATTACAGTCTGTGGGCTATGTTAATGCTCCTAGATGTCCATTATTCAATGAAATTTTTGTTATTGCCACAAGTTATGTATTATTTAGGCTATAATTGATGCTTGTTGAAGAACAAACCTTGGTAGGTATAGATTAAAACTTCACAGTGAAAAAAAAGAGAACTGGTTAGGTTCTAGGTAACTTGGTGACTCTTGGTCTTGGCTGTGGTTCCAGACACCTGGACAGAAGCCCCCTGAAGTTTTTCATGACCCCCGCTCCAGGATTCTAATGGGCAGTATGGGGTGGAAATGGGAAAAGACTACTGTGGACTGTGAGGAGGTAATGGACAGCCTGTTTCCCACCCACAGGTGCTTTTTTCATCCCCTACCTCATCTTCCTTTTCACCTGTGGCATTCCTATCTTCCTCTTGGAGACAGCACTGGGCCAGTACACAAGCCAGGGAAGCGTCACAGCCTGGAGGAAGATCTGCCCCATCTTTGAGGGTGAGTAGATGTGTGTCTGATTCCAGGGTATCTGCACTTGGGATTATAGACCTTACTTGAATTGATTGGGTGGTTTAGCAGCCATGCTGATTGAGATAAGACTCTGTCTTTATGTTAAACCTTCCATTTATGAGCCCAATATTGAGCTAATCACCCAGTCCATCAGAGAATGGAGAAGGTGGCAATGAGGATGTGTCAAAGGCTTTAGGTTAAATAAGTTGAATGCAAAGCTATTTTAGCTACATATTTTAAAAATATATAACAATGATTGGTATTTTCAAAATATATTTAATTATAAAACATTTTAAAAGGGGATTTTAAGTGAAAAAATATCATTAATAATTCTACCATCTTGATACAACAGCTATTTAAAATTTAGGGTGTTTTAGTTCAAGATCTTTTCTATGTAGGATTTTCCTAAGTTTCTATTTTGAAATAATTATATATTCACAGAAAGCTGTAAAAATAGTACAGAAAGGTCATGTGTGCCTTTCACTCAGTTTCTCCCAATGGTAATATCTTACATAACTACAGAATAGTATCACCACCTGGAAATTGACATTGGTACTGCCATCCATAGAACTTACTCAGATCTCACCACTTTTCCTTGCATTCATGTGTATAATTCTCTGTGTGTGAATTTGTGTGACTACTACCCCAATCAAGACACAGAACTGTTCCGTCACCCAAAGATCTCTGCCATGCTACCCTCTGTAGTTACCCTCTGTAGTACCCTCTGTAGTACCCCTCCCTACCAGCCCTACCTCTGGCAACCACTAAATTGTCCTCTACCTCTATAATTTTGTCATTTTGAGAATGTTATATAGGTGGAAACATACAAAATATAATCTTTAGAAGTTGGCTTTTGCATTGAGCATGATGCCCTTGGTGTTCATCCAGCCTGTTCTGGTGTCAATAGTGCATTCCTTTGTGCTGTACAGTATTACTTCATAGTGTGGATAGGTCACAGTTTACTTAACCATCTACCCAATGAAGGGTATTTGGATTGTTTACAATTTGAGGGGTTTATTTCATTCTTTCTGTCTATATGGGGTTTACATATCTATTAATATGGAGTATACATGGTTTATATCTCTGTTTTACAGTTAGCATTATTTTCCATTCTCTACACAATTATTTAATGATTATATAAACTTCAATCAAGTAGATACCTCATAATTTACTTAACTCTTTGTTTTTTGGATTTTTTCTTACGTTCAAGTACTTATAAAATTGTTATATTCTGCTGTTATGTATATTTGTTGAGATAGATCCCCTTGCCTTTTTGGAAATTATTTCTTTGGCATAAATTTGCAAGACTAGGATCACTGGATTGAATGGATGATCAAATTGATGTCTTTTAGTATGGATTATTAATTGTCCTGTGGAGCCCTGACCAGTGTGGCTCAGTGGATTGAGTATTGTCCCGCAAAGCTAGAAGCCACTGGTTCGATTGCTGGTCAGAGTGTATGACTTTTGGTCTTAGTCTGGGCAAATATGAGAGGCAACCGATGGATGTTTCTTTCTCACACTGATGTCTCTCTCCCTCTCTTCCTAACTCCCTTCCTCTCTATCTAAAAAGAAACTTAAAAAATAAAATAAAATAAAATAAATTGTCCCATAGAAGTGTTATATTGACTTACAATGTCCCTTCTGTCTTTAACAACTCTGAGGTATGCGTGGTTCCCAAGCTTGTCTGATATTGGAACTACCTGGGGACCTTCAAAACATCCTGAGGTTTGAGGTTTAATTGGTCCGGGGTCTGGTCCAGGCTTTGGAATTTTTTTTAAAAGATTTTATTTATTTATTTTTAGAGAGGGAAGGGAGAGAGAGAGAGAGAGAGAGAAACATCAATGTGTGGTTGCTGGGGGTTATGGTCTGCAACCCAGGCATGTACCCTGGCTGGGAATCGAACCTGGGACACTTTGGTTCCCAGCCCGCGCTCCATCCACTGAGCTACGCCAGCCAGGGCGGCTTTGGAATTTTAAAAACATCCCCAGGTGTTTCTAATGTGAAGACAGTTTAAAATTTATTATATTATTTGTAAAAAGTTTCACTCAGGCTGTCAGTGTGGAATGATACTTCATTATTGTTTGATTTTGCACACCTGAAATTAATTATTAGGGAGGCTCTATTTGTATTTTGTCCTACATGAATTTTCTTTTCTGCTCTTAACATGTGGTTTTATACTTCAGAAATATATCGGACTAGATTAAGGAAACATTTAACTCTTGGAATCCTGGAGGTAGTCTGCACATTTTAGAAATAATGTTGGGTTAATGAACTTCCAGAACCTAATCGGGATGACATGCACAGGGAGCAGGCTAAGGCTGCAGAAGGCAGGGAGAAAGGTCCCCTCTCAACCTGGGAAGGGCTGTGGGAGCACGCAGCAACACTGCCTGCTGGGGAGATAGAGGGCAGAGCAGGCGCCCAGGCTCCAGCGCTTCTTATTCTAGGACAACTACTGTGGAGCACAAACCTTCCCCTAAGCAGGGGCAGGTAGTGTGTGAGAAATTTGTCTGTTGTCCCTAGCTCAATCTGCCTGTTGCCCCTGCAGGCATTGGCTACGCCTCCCAGATGATCCTCATGCTCCTCAACACCTACTACATCGTTGTACTGGCCTGGGCCCTCTTCTACCTCTTTAGCAGCTTCACCATCGACCTTCCCTGGGGAAGCTGCCGCCACGAGTGGAATACAGGTGAGGTCACTTCTGAGTTCATTTCTTCCTGCTGCTCTGCCGCATGAGCTAGGACTGGGATTGCCCCTGTATCCCAGGCAACCAACTTCCCAGTCATCATTTAGGATTCACTAGAAATCTGCCCAGTGAATCACGGAGGTCTTATACCAAATAAGAGTGAGATTTCACCAGCATCACAGGGAAAATGTCAAAGAATTTTTTAAAAATGTATTCAATACATGTATTATGAATTCATGTATTATGAAGATAGAACTGACTGCTTATGTAGTTTAGATATTTATTTATTCCAGCTTGAAATAGTGTTAGTTTGACATACTATGTGTATATTGTTTGTTCACTTTTTAGTTTCTCATGCCTTCTCTCTGATACCACTTTAGGTCTTTCCAACTCATAGCTCATCTGGATTTAATCAGGGAATAAGCTCTCTTGTATGTCATCAATGTAATTCATAATAGCAGTTGATTTTCTCCTGTGCCTGTAGGGCTAGAGGAGCCACCTGTGGCAATAGAACTGCTGAGTCTAACAAACTGAAGCAATGACAACTTAAAAATGCCTGGGGTGGCGCTATCACAGAGAACTTTCTGTGACGCTGTTCTCTCTGAAACGGTAGCCAATGTGTGGTTATAGAGCACTTGAAATGTGGCTAGTTTGTGTGAAGAACTGAATTTTTAAAACTTGTATTTAATTTTAATTAATTCAAACGTAAAGAGCCACATGTGGCTGGTGGTTACCCTTTGGACAGGGCAGATGAAGAGCATATTGGACGCGTGTCCTGTTGGGGTCTCAGCACCACGTCTTGTGCTCACGGCCCACGTACCTCTCAGAGCATGTCAGTGAGGCCCTACCTGCGCCAGGTTTGGCTTTTCTTGTTCAAATAAGTCGCTCAGTTCTGGGCAGGAGTTTGAGCCTTTTCCTGACCAGGGAGGTGCATTTCAGCAATGGTTAGTATCATACTCAAGGGCCCTCTTGCCCTCAAAATTTATGCTCCCTTTCCAGGCATTCTCCGACTGATCTCTGCCACCACCTCTATGCCACCATTTTTCAAATGAAAAGTCAAACCTTGGAGGTACTTCCCCTGCCACCCCAAGGTGCATTAGGTTCTTGGCAATACCTGCACTGACCCCTGGCCCTGCTGTGGCACCTACATGCTTTTTGTCTGTTTGTCAGTCTGGTTTTCCCACACATCAGCAAGAGCTTGAAGGCAGAAAAGATGTTTTTATCTCTATAGCCTTTGTGCCTAGCACCGTGCTGGCTACATCATAAGCACTCAAAAATATTTGTTGGATGAATCAAGTTTTTAAAATGTTATATTCTAATATGTTCTTTGTGTATTTTTCTTCCCTCCCTCCCATTCTTCATAATTTTCTTCCTTCTTTTCTTTTTTCCTTCCTTCCTTCCTTCCATCTACGGGCACTGAAATCACCCTTGACAACCAGCTTGTCAGATGGTGATTTTATCAGATCTCAGTGGAGTTCTTCTTGTAAAACTGTGTGAGGTTTTGGTGGCCTAGGACTTTTGCTTCAGGCCTGCCTCTACGTTGATTGGTGCAGGGTTAACTTTGGGACGATTCTAAGGCAAATGCATTGTCAAGTCTTTTGCTTCTTGACGTTTTGGACATTTCTCCTAGTGAGTCTGGTTTTACTTCAAGCCTAGCATCTTGAGTTGCTTAGGGCATCTTGTCTTGTCATCATGAAACACTTTTCTTGGTGTGCTGAAGCTTCAAGGAAAGTGCCACATCTAGTGAAAAGAGTGCTCGACTGTCACTGTCATTCAACAGATATTGTTGAGCTCCAACTATGCCTGTTCTAAGGCTCTGTTCTAAGAACCTGGGATGTGGTAATGCAGAAAAGTGAAGGTCCCTGCCTGCATGGAGTCGTCATTCTAGTGACAGGAGGCAGACCATAAACACAAATAAATGAGTAACAGGTGTCGTGTTAGAAGAAAACATATGCTCTGGAGAAAAATAAAACAAGGAGGAGGTTTTGGGAGGGTTTTTTGGGGGGGTATAGTTTTAAACGGGTCATCAGCAAAGGCTTTGCTGAAAAGATGACATGAGTAATGCTGTGAAGGAGGGTAGGGAGTGAGCCCCTGAGATATTGGGAGACACACTAGGTAGAAGGCACACCCAGCCAAAGGCCCTGGGGCACTAGAGCCTGCAGTGCCCAGGGACCAGCAAGGGGTCCGTGTGGCTGGAGCAGGTGAGTAAGGAGCACTGGGAGGTGATTATAGGGATTTTGGCTTTTTCTGTCTTGGTGAGATGGGAAACCCATTGGAGAGTTTTGCACTGGGGTGTGGCACAGAACGTGACTTAAATTTTAACTATCACTCTGACTGCTATATGGAGAACTGGCTAGGGAGGCAAGAGTAGAGACTAGAAGCCAGTTGGGGCAGCTGGAGATGATGGTAATCTGCACCGGGTGGTGGTGGTGACGACGAGAAAGGTCCAATTCTGCATATTTTGAAGACAGAGCATACACGACTCACTGGACTGGATTCTAGCCCTCCCTTACTTCGTCACTTATAAGCTAAGACAGGCCATTGCTAAGCAAACTAACTCTCTCCATATTTACAGTGGTGAAAACACTAACTCTCCTAATATTTTTAAAGCATATTTTATCTATAAAATGTGAAAAACACTGTGAACACTCTTTGTGAAACTCCAAAGTCATGTTCACGTAACTAAGAGCCACTACTTACTGAGTACTTTCCAGACGTGTTTGCACTTAATCCCCTATCAGTCCTACCAATGGACGTTCTGTCCATTTCAGACATGAGGGTGTGCGGCTCAGAGAGACTCACAGGGAATAACTGGAGGGCAGGAGGCCAGGCAGAGCGTTCTTGCACCTGTCCCTCTGCTCTTCAGCAGCTGGCTGTGGAACTTCCCTAGGAGGCTTATTATCAGTCCTCAAACGTGGTGACTTTATGCACACGTTACCTGGAAATATTTGAATACTTTGAGGCAGATGGCATGCAGAGCATCTTTCCTGATGCCATCTGATCATGCTTTAATGAGAATATTTAGAAACCAATTCCCTCAAACATTTAGAAACCAATGAATAAAAGCACATGGGAGAGGGTGGCATAGGTCTGTTGAGGCTGTGTGTTTAAGGATGTTTTGTATAGACAACTTCAGCCCAGTTCCTTCCAGAAACCTTACTTCCATTCTCCTGAAATTTCATACCAAGTACTGGCTAATAATTTTTCTCTTGCTTCCTTCCCTGGGACCCATGAGTAGAGCACTGTGTGGAGTTCCAGAGGATCAATGGCTCCCTGAATGTGACCTCTGAGAATGCCACCTCTCCTGTCATTGAGTTCTGGGAGTAAGTGAGACCTGTTTTTTATCCCATTGTGGGCTGTGCACTGGAAAGAAGGGCTTGGGGTGGGTCCCTGCAATGGTGACTCTCAGTGGTTAACAAGGGAAGAATTTCTGTTGCCTTCTTTGGTGGCCCTGTCTCTGAAGGGGCTTGTTTCTGTGGTGCCTGTATTCGTGGTTAGTGCAGAACTGGTTTCAGAGATGAGAATTTAGCAGCTCTCCTGCCTTTCCTCACCCACGTGCCTACCCCTACGGTAGACAGTGCACACGGATGCGTGTCCACACTCCTAACTACCCTCCTCTCTTCAGCTGCGTGGACATGGTCTCTTATCTTCCCCTTCTCCCAATACTGATCCTCGTCTAGGGCATGATTCCTATCAAAATATCCTAAAACCCTGGTTGAGAAAATACACGTTTGCACCTCCTTCTCTAGGTTAAATTGGTGCTCAGCGTCCCAGAGCAAACTTACTGGGAACAGTTTATATTTGCCTCCCTTTACACCTACCCCTATCTCTGGGCAAAGGAGAGCCTCATGGGTTCAGGTGAAAAGAGCTGACAAGCCTTTGGACGAGAGCCTGCAGGCAGGGCTCTGCTGCCTGCGACACACATGCGGGCTGTGAAATGGAGGCTGGCAGCGAGAGTGGAGCCTGGCTCAACCTTTTCTCCCCAGGAGGCGGGTCCTGAAGATCTCTGATGGCATCCAGCACCTGGGGGCCCTGCGCTGGGAACTAGCTGTGTGCCTCTTGCTTGCCTGGGTCATCTGCTACTTCTGCATCTGGAAGGGGGTCAAGTCCACGGGCAAGGTTCATGTCGGAGAGCTCCTGGCCCTCCCATCCCAGGACTCCCTGCTCTCACTGGGGGTTCAGTCCCCTGGGAGTTCCCTAAGCTGTAGCCTAGTCAGTGGGAGGGAATGATCCAACAAAGACTTCCTTGATTCTGTGCCTCTCCTGGGTTCAATCTCAAATTCTTCTGGTCTTTGGGAGAGAGAGGGAGAGGGAAAGAGAGAGAATGGACACTTCAAGAGAAATTTGATCTTAGAATAAATATACCACATATGTGGGCATATCACAAAATGAACACAGTTCATAGCTCCCTAGTTCGTTCAGCATTTCTTTGGGAAAAAAATTTCGGCAAGACCATCAGTCTCAAAATGATTCCTAGTCAATCCAAGAAGCTGGGGGGCTCTTGCCTAGAGTGTATGGGGTGTTAAGAGGGCATTCTGAGTTCTTCTGGACTCTTGCCTTGGAGGCCTCTGACAAGGCTTCCTTCCTAATCGGGCCACCTGGTCGCACTGGACTTGGAAGCCCTGAGTGGACAGGGATCAAGTGTTGCAGGTCTTTGCATGCCCGGCAGCCCTTGCCATAGTTCCAAACATGGCTGTAGGGAGAATGCCTAAGTTCATTCAGTGGCTCAACAAATACTTAACTATGTGTCAGGAGCGGATGAGCGCTTCGGCTAGAGGGGGAAGGGAGAGGAGAGGTTGTGGGCTCACAGCACAGGGGAGGTGGGACTGAACAGCAGCTGGGCTGTGAAGGCTGGAGCAGACAGGGAAGGCCGGGTCGGGGGAGGCGCACTCCTTTGGCCTCTTCTGCAGGTGGGGAGCTCCTGCCTCTGCCTCACTGCTGGGTCTCCAGCCCCCTCCCACCCGACTCACAAGTTTCTTATTTCTCATCTGCCCCTTGGCCAGGTGGTGTACTTCACAGCCACATTCCCTTACCTCATGCTGGTGGTCCTGTTAATTCGAGGGGTGACACTGCCAGGGGCAGCCCAAGGGATTCAATTTTACCTGTACCCAAACCTCACGCGCCTGTGGGATCCCCAGGTAAGAAGCCACAGACAAGGGCTGTCATGTGGCTTAGGAGGTGCCTGGGCTACAGACCTTCCCTGTGCTCTTGGGCCCTCCCTGAGGGAGTGTCTCAGACATCTGTTAGCTGCAGTTTGCAGCCCCCTCCATGCTCACAGCTGCCAGGAGAGCCAGCAGGTCCTGAGGCCTAGTAATATTTCTCAGGGACAGTAAATTCATCACTAACAGCCTTTATTCAGGGGCTGAATGCTTTTCCCCACATCTACTCATGCCCTTTTGCATTTTTCCCTGGCAATCTTATTTCACACCTAGCTTCCTCTCTATTTCTTAACCTTCCACCAGACACCACTCGGTCTCCCCTCTGTCAGGAGGCCCATTCCTAGGCCCAGTTCGCCAGCCCCTGCCAGCACCAGCTGGGCTGGGTTGAGCTTCCTGTCAGTTGTCTAGTGGCCCCAGCCTCTTCCCACCCCTCAGCCAGCTTCTGGGTGGCCCTCACAAGGAGCTGGCAGTGTTGCTTGCTGACTGGAGGGATTTGCAAGGCAGGGCTTGAGGTAAGAAACCTTTGACGGGTTTCTTCTCTTCTCCTGGTTGGCAGCCATTTTGAAAGCTGGCAAGGGCTGCCAAGGGCCAAGGGCTGGGGAGCATGGCTCAGCTCCCCACGGAGCCCCTGAGATGTGTCACCCAGCCCTGGGCCCTGCCTCTGCCTCCCTTTGTGCTGGAGAAGGCTCTCTGTCTATAGCCAGGGGTCCTGAGGAGGCTGAGGGTGGGAGGTGCCCAGGACAGAGAAGATGAACAAGTGGATGGCTGTGCAAACATGTTAAATAGTAAAGTACCAGCACAGTCACTGAAATTGCTGAGAGGGAGCAAGAGAAAAGGGAATGGCACACACATCCAGGGTCCCTCAGAGGCCAGGACTCAGCAGAGGCAATTGCTCCCCTTTGTGCTGAATTTGGGGTTTATTTAGAAGCTCAATTATTCTCAGTCTCCCATCCTGAGATTCTACCAGGGCTGCCAGGGCTCCTGCTATCAGAAACATCCTCATGGAGTCAAGTAGCCTTGTGTCCTGGATATTTCTCCATGATCTTCTAGCGGGATGTGAGCTCATCTTTCTCCCCTCCCATTGCTTAGGGATAACAGCGAGACAGATTGCTGCTGCGTCATCTCCACGTGGGGCACAGGGTTGTAGTCAGGCTTTGGTGTCAAACTGCAGAGCCATAGCCATTTGAGCTAAAAGGGCTCCAGAGGTCACCTAGTGCGAACTCCTCATTGCACAGATGTGCAAACGAGGCCCAAGGTCACACAGCAAGTGGCAGGCCAAACAAAGTATATTTTTATTTTGTGAACCATAAACCCTTTGGCTTGTCTGGAACCAATGGGTCATGATGGAGAGTAGGTAGCAAGCAGGAGTTGTGGGGCAGCAGAGTTGAGGGAAGGCTCTGAAGGACAGAGGTAGAGTTTGACTTGGATGCCCCACATAAAAGGGAGCATAATGGTTCTGGAGAGGCAGGGGTGTGAACCAGCGTGTGGCTAAGCCACAAAGCCTGCAGAGGTCAGGCTGGGAAAGAGCAGGGGGAGGGGCGTATTCAGCTGAGAGATAGTCAGGTAGGCTGAGAGACAAAAAGGAGAGAGGGCCCAGTATTTCTGGAACTGATTTATGGTGTTTCTGATCAATGCCTTGTTTGTCCTGATCGGCAATTTATAGCTAACAACTAGTGAGTGCTTACGGCATCCCTGGCACTAAGAGGTTTTACTCCGCTAGTTCAGCTCATCCTCACAGCACAGCAATGAGGTATCCTTATGTTGTAGATAAGGAAAATAGGGCCTAGAGAACTTAAAGAATTTTCCATCCTCACACCTGTACCTGGAAGACAGGTCTCAATGATGACAAATTCCACGCTTTATGATCTCTTAACATCAAAGTTCCCACCTGTATATATCCTCCAGCAAATATAAAGCTGGTGGACCAGATAGCTTTGAACTCTGAGAGTTAATAAGGCCACAGTTCTGTGTCTGGGTTACTGTAGGGAATAAGACGTCTTTTAAACCTCCCTCCAGGACACCGACCTTCCAGCCCCAGCCCGCTGTCGGCTGTGCAGAGAGTACATGTCTTCCACATCCTCTGAGGCTGTGGCGAGGACGACTGTGTTTCAAGAGCCAGGCTTTGTCCTGAGCTTTTGAGCTGCCTGCCTCATTAGCCACCTGGCCCTAGGTCCATGCTGAAGCGAGACTTTTGTTGCTTGTGAGCAGAGCAACCCCTGCCAGGTGGGCTGCCCAGGCCAGAGCACTAATTGATGTAGTTGGCACTCCCCAGGAGGTGTGATAACTCCAGCTGGCATTTGCCTGGACTTAAGAGAGGTGCAAAATCCGTGCTAGCCAACACAAAGACCGAAGACATCTCTCTGGCAAATACTCAGTGTGGGAGTGGGGACCCTGGCAGAGACGATGCTGGGTTATCTGGTTTCCTCTTCTCCTTTTGCCAGCCTTTCTGGTGCCAGGTGGCTCGCTGCCTGTGCTGGTGTCCCCGGGGCTTGTCTCTCGCATGTGGGGAACGGCCACAGGAGACTCAGGGCTCCGCCCGCGCAGTGTGTGCTTTGTCCAGGCACTCGGGTCTGTCCGTTTGCCTGTCCTGCTGCACTTTGGCAGGTTGGTAAGGGCAGGGGCTGGCGGGAGGGTGTCTAAAGAGCCTTTGTTGGGCCTTTTAAATCTCTAGGCTAAGCTATTCTAATGAAGGGTTTATTTAGGGAGGAGGTTGGCACCATCAGTGAGAACGAGTCTTTTGATTTAGATGCTGTGCGTTGAAACCTGTGGGACATCATCACCCAGGGTTGCTCTTTAAAATAACCCAGCGACAAACAGCAGCAATAGCTGACACACTGGTCATGTGCTTGTCATTTGCCTGGCACTCCACTCAGTGCGTGACAAGGCGTAACCTCCCACTGACCCAGGGAATCAGGGGTTAGCCTCATTTTACAGATGAAGAAACTGAAGCTGAGACAACTGAAGAAATTTGCCCCAAACCACAGAACCAGCATGCGGGGGAGTTTGGGTTTCATCCTGAGTAGTCTTTTGGAGTCTGCTGTCTTAATCACCTTGACATTCATTTTCCAAAGAATATGAATTATTTGAGAGTTTTAAGGGCTGTTTATTTTTAATTACTCTAAAAGATGGGATAGGGAACTAATATTTATCTATGTGTTAGGCAGTTTACATACATTATTTTATTTATTCTTATACCCATTTTCCTAATGAGAAAAGTAAGGTTTAGAGAGGTTAAGTGACTTGCCTAAGATCACACAGCTGGTAATTAAGAGTTAGTCATTGAACCCACTTCATTTTGACTCCAAAGCCCAGGTTTTTTCCATTCCACACGATGCCTTCCTAAATACAGTAAATGTAATAATCTTTGGGGTTGGACTCAGAGTTGAAAATGTCTTTCCTGGACCCTCTAGAGCTCTGTGCCCCCTGAGAATTATTTTTTTGTCCACATTCCACCAAGTGTTTTTCACAGCTGTTTTATTTGTCGTTAGTCTGCTCCAGCGAAGACACACTGGAACTTCGTTCCAGAAACCAGGGTTCCTGGCGTGGGCAGGGTCTCCTGCCGTGGGAACAGGACCACTTGCTCTGCTGGTTCCTTCAGCCCTTCCTCTGACCCTGTTCCTCCCCCTTATCCCAGCAGGCTTGTCAGCCAGCAGCTGTGCAGAGAGCTGGCCTTGCCAAGCTCCCAGTGAGGGGGCTTCAGTCAGAGGCATCACATCTGACCCTGGTCCTCTGAACTCCCAGCCCCCTGCTGCGTTTTTCTCTGTTCTTACTCCCCTCTCCTCCCAACTCAGTCTTAATCTGGCCCCCTTGGGCTGAGGGAAACTGCCAAATCACAATTTTTCTTCCCAAGCCCAAGTTTACAAAACTGTATAATCACAGGACTTGTGCGTCCCTGCCAGCATGTGGGCACTCGACGGTTTCCCTGGTGGCGCGTGGGAGTGCGGGTCCGGCTGCACCCCGTGTGCTGGCAGGCGCGCAGAGCGAACATGCGGGCTTGGGAAAGGCCGCCTCATCTCAGGACGCAGAGACCCCCCAGGCAGATAAGCACTGCTCCCAGACCGCGTCTCCGGCCCCAGAGCAAGTCCGCGCTGCGCAGGCTCAGAGCTGCTTGGAACCCGCTGAGTGAGCGGGAAGGAAACAGAAGAGAGTGACCTCAGGCCAGAGGTCAGTTTTCCTGAGATGACCATCCTCACAGTAGTATCTGGGGCGAAGTTTTGGAAGAAAAAAATGATTCAAAACACCTCCTCAAACTGTTGTCGCATCACACCGAATTTTGTAAATGCCCCCATTCTTGTCAGCGGGTTCTTTTCATTCCTACCCTATCCTTTGGAAATAAATCCTGATGACCCCTCCCTTTCCTATTATAATTTCCCTCAAGTTTAAAAAAGTCCCCAGGTGTTTCCCCTCTGCATGCTATTTCTTGCTGGCTGGCCCCTTCTGTGTGTGCCCTTTTCCTTGGTGGCAGCTTCTGCCTCACAGAATTCCTTGGGGATGAAATCACGGTCGCAGAAGGGACAGGAGGCTAGAGACATTCTCCCCCTTTCCTCACCACCACCTTTCCCTGCTCTTTTCCCTTTCCTGCGGCAGGGATTCCGAGAGCAGGAGGAGTGCGGTCCCCGCGGGTCTCTGACGCCAGTTGGTCGGGCTGTGGGGCAGAGATCCGCCCCTGACCGCTCAGTAGGATCCGCCAGGGAGCTCTGAACATGATACAGATTTCTGGGTCCTCCTTTAGCTCTACAGATTCAGTGTCTCAACTGGGGATGCTGGTGGAGGAATGAATGAGATTCTGATGTAGCCAGCTCGCTGGTGGTCCCTGGGGCCCACTGTAATGCTGAGTGGAGTGAGTGTGATGGGAGAGAACAAGTGAGGCTGAGGGTGGTGGTGATGGCGAGAGAGGCCGGGAGAGACAGGGAAAGGACTTAGGAGCTCTGCACAGCGCAAAGCTGAGGCTTTAATGTGTGTGTGTGGGGGGGGGGCGCATTGGGAGCCCCATATTGGTGAAAGGAAACTGGGCACCTATGTGGGGGCTGCTGGGGTGGAGCCAGGCAACAGACCAGAAACGGGGAACACAGGAATGTTGGGACAATGGCTGCCCACGCCTGCACCCAGAGTTCGGGCCTCCACGTAGAGCTCACATCCTCCAGAGGCAGGAGGCTTGGGGAGGGTCTGTAGCCCCAGGGCCCCACTTCCTGGAGATCTGCAGGGTGGCTTAGTCCTGTTTTCCTTGATGTTCTTTCTCTTTGAGATGTTATTCTAGCTGTTAAACCTAAATCATAACAGGCACAGCCTGGGTCGTCAGCTGAGATAATAACAGTAACAACATAACCTATGTTTAGCTGGAGAGCTCTTCCCCGCCAAGGAGTACAAAGCCCTTTCCCGATGCATTTCTGATCCTCCTCTCGACTTTTTGTGAGCGGAGGATTACTCTTGCTGTTTTTTGGACAGAGGGTTGTGAGGCACCAGGGGCAAAGCTACATGCGATGATAGCACTGACAAGGACCCATAACTCTAGAGATCCTGCCTCTGGATTGCTTCCAAACTGGCAAACCGGTCTCACCTCCAGGCCCAGAGCCCAGGCCAGGGGAGAGTGGAGGCAGAACCCGGGCTTTGTTTCCATGATAACGTGGGACCGGGCCGGCCTTCGTTCTAGAGTGTCCTTCCTCTGCTCGCCCTCGTCCTCCCTCTGCTCGCCCTCCTCCACCACGGGTCCTTTAGTCGTCTTCTTCGCATACCTAATACCAAGAGATCCCGTCTAGGGGCCCCGCGAGTAGCGCCCACGGGGGTGGCAGGGCGGCAGAGGGGCTGCACAGGCTGAGGGCAGGGTTCTTACCGCCCCGAACCGGAGCCCAGCTTGGCCACGGGCCTGTGTGCCCCCACGGAACCCAGGTGCCTGGCTCCTGCGGTGCGGCTTTCCTGCCTTTTCCCTGTGCAGGTGTGGATGGACGCGGGCACGCAGATCTTCTTCTCCTTCGCCATCTGTGTCGGCTGCCTGACAGCCCTGAGCAGCTACAACAAGTTCCACAACAACTGTTACAGGTGACTGGGGGCCTGAGCTGGGAACCCCGCCCCCCCCGCCCAAGGCGTGCGGGGTACAGGGTGACGCGGAGGGAGCACCACTCATGGATTCGCCGACCCCGCCCTTCACTCTGCTTTCCAACACTCCAGGGCTACCAGTTGCTGGAAGGGGCCCACCACAGCACAGCACAGCACAGCACAGCACAGCACAGGCAAACAGTTGGCCGGGGAAGCAGAGCGGGATGGGGGCCGGCCTGGGCTCTGGCTCGTGTAGAGGCTGTGGGGCTCAGGAGTGTCAGCAAGCCTGGGGAGTTAGCAGCTACGTCATGCGGTGGGCCCTCAGCCCCACCGGCTGTGTGCGTTTGCCCCGCAAACACGGACTCCTTGCCCATTTTCCTTCACCCCTCCCCCGCTGGTGTCCCCTCCCCACGGTTCCCTTGGTCTACCAGGTTCATATCAGAGAACTTAGGCCAGTTTTAATGTTAGTTCAAAGTGTCATCTCATACCTTTTGGAATCAAATTTAGGTAACTAAGAATTATTGGTTGCTTGGGATTATCCAGGCCTACATCCCCAACATTAGCACCCCACACAGAACTGTGTCAGAGTGATGGTGTCACAAAGGTGTGGTGATGACATGGCAGGGAAGGGAGGCTGTGTGGCAGTTTGTAATTTTTAGATAGTATTTCACTTCTTTGGAGCTTCATTCTTTTAGGAAGAGTTTGATTTATCCCAAGTCTGAGCTAGTGGAGTCGGGGGGCTGAACCACCCCGAGTGCTCATCTTCACTCCACTGGCAGCCACCTCCGACCGGCCTGCTGTGAGGGGCAGGGCTGCCCTGGGGCTGCCGTAGGCTCTGGACTGCAGGCCCCAGACGCTGCAGCCCTTTCTGATCTGCCTGTTGCCGCCTCTGCACCTCACCCGCAGGGACTGCATGGCCCTCTGCTTCCTCAACAGTGGCACCAGCTTTGTGGCCGGGTTTGCCATCTTCTCCATCTTGGGCTTCATGTCCCAAGAGCAGGGGGTGCCCATCTCCAAGGTGGCCGAGTCAGGTGAGTGTTGGGGAGGCCCAAGGGTGTTGATTCTGTGAGCTTCCAACCTTCGCCAACCAGCTTCTGGGGGTCTTTCTAGGTGAGTCACCTTTCAGTGGATGTCTCCCAGGAAGACCTGGGGGAGGACTTAAAAACAGCAATTCCATCTTCAAAGGGAAAGTGGGTATTTAGTGAACAGTTTTCTTCGCACCCCAATGTTCTTAGGCTGCCAATGTTACCAGGTTCATATTTTCCCCTCCAGAAATAGTTTAGGCATAGATGAGAAAAAAACGCACACCCGAATAGACATGCCCATTCATTTATACATAGGTACATATTTCTATTTCTTACCTCCTTTAAAAAAAAAGATTTTATTTATAGACAGAGACTAAGGGAATGAGAAAGAGGGAGAGAAACAGCGATGTGTGGTTACCTGTCGCACATGCCCTGACCCACTCATGTGCCCTGATTGGGAATTGAACCTGCAACCCATTTGGTTTGCAGGCCAGCACTCAGTCCACTGAGCCACATCATCCAGGGCTCGTCCTCCCTTCTTAAAAATCAGTTGATAACATACTATATATACTGTTATGTACCTTGACTTGTTTTGTTCACTTTATTTTTTTAAGGTTTTATTTATTTTTAGAGAGAGGGCAAGGGAAGGAGAATGAGAAGTTGAGAAACATCAGTGTGTGAGAGAAACGTTGATTGGTTGCCTCTCTCATGCCCTCAGCTGGGGACCTGGCCCACAACCTAGGCACGTGCCCTTACAGGGAATCTAACTGGTGACTTTTGGGATGCGGGATGATGCCCAGCCTACTGAGCCACACCAGGCAGGGCATTTTGCTCACTGTAATATGTATCTCAGAGATAAGTTTATATTGGCTCATAGAGTTTCCTCCTGTTTTAAGTGAGTGCTTTTCCACCATGCAATCTTGTTGTTTCCTTCAAATACAATCAGGGACTGGTGCCGTCTCTAGGTAAGCTGTAAGTGTTCCTCTTACTCTTCTCCTGTTCTCGTAGACCATCCACTTGTATTCTGTAGCAAGGCAATTCTTTATCATAGCATTCACAAGCTGACCCTTGCTATGCAGAGTGCCAAGCACTGGGCAACGCGCATCGCTGACTCATTAAAAGTGATACTATTTCACTTGTATTAAGCATTTACTATATGCCAGGTACTGTGCAGAGCATTCCGCCTGTATCATGCGATAGAAAACTGTGAAGCAGGTGCTAGTATCATCCCCACCTCACGAGCGTAGGGAGTGTGGCTTTAAGAGGTAAAGGACTGTAGAAGGTCACAGGGTCACACCTTTTTTTCTTTTTTCAAAGGAAGCTTCATATGGCTGAACCCAGGTGCTAGCATGTGAATTTGTTCCTGCTATTTTAAGCCAGCTGAGAGGAACATTAATTTATTTGAGAGATCGAGTATTAGAGGTATTCTGAAATTAATGTCAGTTCATAGGTTGTAGGGTGACAGGAAGGGCCCCAGGGCAGAGGTGGCCAACTGGTGGCCCCAGGCACCGCCCAGTCTTGGGGGTATTTTCTTCAGAACCATCTCCTCTGCAGAAACCACACAGGGAACGCGCAGTTGGTAGAGGAGCATGCTGGCTCCAGCCAGGCCCTACCGCTCCCCCGCTCTGCCCTGGGCCCGCTGCACAGAAATACACAAGGGCCCCTGAGTTCTTTTTCAGTTTGAAACCTCTGGTTTGGGGCAATAGATCTGGAGAGTGAGATTGGAGGATTTGGAGAAATGTGGGTGATATACCGCTTTCTGTTTTCCAAGGCCCTTTAGACACATAGCCTCTAGGGTCTGTTCCTGCCAGTGAGAAAACCGTGGGTGGTGTCCTGGAAATTTGGGATCAGGGAGAGGTTTGGGTGGTTTCTTGTGGGTGAGGATGGTGGTGTGATGGGAACTTTGGGGTGGAGTTTCTCTGCCTCCACTTGCTCCACGGCGCCACGCTGGGGGCGCACGTGGCCTGCAGCGAGGCCAGGCACTGGGTTGTGTTCCTCTGCTTTCTGCTGTAGGCCCTGGCCTGGCTTTCATTGCCTACCCCCGGGCGGTGGTGATGCTGCCCTTCTCGACTTTCTGGGCCTGCTGCTTCTTCTTCATGATCATCCTCCTAGGCCTGGATAGTCAGGTATCAAGAGGTGGCCGCTCAGAGGCTGAGAGATGAGTGGGTGTGTGGGGGGCGGGGGGAGGGGGAGCCATGGGCGTGAGGTTCAGCTCGATGCCCTGGTGGACCTTAGAACAATTGGGAACGGCGGGGGGGGGGAATGTCAGGCATGGATGCCCTTCCAGGAAACAAGAGGAGCTTTGGAGGGTGGGTCCAGACCTAACCGGGCAAGGACAGTGCTGGGGGCTTTAGACAGGGAGCCTGGCAGGGTCAAGCCCAGGAGCAGCGGGCCAGCACTACCTGGTGGAGCTGATTCTGGGAGCTCCCCTTTCTCCAACCCTTTTGTCCCCTCTCAGTTTGTGTGCGTAGAGAGCCTGGTGACAGCGCTGGTGGACATGTACCCCCAGGTGTTCCGTAAGAAGAACCGGAGGGAGGTCCTCATTCTTGGAGTGTCTGTCGTCTCCTTCCTTGTTGGGCTGGTCATGGTCACAGAGGTGAGGATCTGGGAGGCTTGAAGGTGGGGACTGAGTGAAGAGGCAGAACGAAGGCGGGCAGCTGCCACCTGTCAGGTGGAGCAGGCTGCTGTAGCTTCAGGGCACTGGGACCTGCTCCTGTCCCAACTGCAGGAAGCACAAAGCAGGCAAGTGCCTCCTCTGGCCTTTGGGAATTGACCACCTACTTCTGGGGCTGGGAGAGGGGTAACTCATCTCCATGTTAAATTGAGAGGTATGGAAAGGATGGTCTCCAGGAGAGAAAAACTGCCTCTCCAGAAAGATCTCATAATTTGCCAGGCAGCTGCACCAGGTTCCAGGGATAAACTTCAAAGGGAGAAGGGGAGCCCTGGGGATGGGTGATATTCCGTGTGACGTCTCGAAGGGGAAGGCGGCGGATGGAGCTTGTCATCTTGGTGACACAATAGCAGTGACAGTCCTAGCCCGATCTTGGCCAAACAAGTGCACATTATGTCTTAGATTTCTGTGTCAGTCTCTAAATGTTCTCAGGGACAATCTAATTGTCGCTGGCTATTTCATCTCTCATCCATCCAGAAACAATAAAAAATAGTTATTGCCTCCTTTCTGCCTAGTGCCTTACAGCTTACAAACTACCTTCTCTTTTCATATTTGTCTTTGGTGATCCCCACCAACTCCATTCTACACCCTGAGGGTGTGTAGCTGGCCAGCAAGGGGGTAAATGTGTCTGTTTTCTCTGGATAAAGTTCTGTTTTTTATTCCCTCCCCGGCAGGGCGGTATGTACGTGTTTCAGCTCTTTGACTACTATGCAGCCAGCGGCATGTGCCTCCTGTTTGTGGCCATCTTTGAGTCCCTCTGTGTGGCTTGGGTCTACGGTGAGTGACTCTCCTGAACCCCATTACTCACCTCTATCCCAGGGCCCTTAGACAAAAGAGAGACGTCCACTGCTCACACCCACCTTTTCTTGGGACTTCTCCCTTACCCAGCCTCAAAAATCTCAAGAATCCGAAATTGCTACCACTGGAAGAGCCCTCTAGAGGTTGCCTCACCTACCCTCCCAGCCATGGTTGCACCTTGACTGCAGGTGGTCCCATGTCCTGTCCTATCCAAGCCTTTTCAGCTCGTAACAGCCTTCATAATCAGGAAGGCAGTGCCTCTGCTGCCCGCTGGCCTCAATGTCCCTGCCTCACAGGGAAGAGCTTTCTTCCAGCCGGGATCTGTAAAGACAACCATGATATCTGCTGCTCATTGGCCCTTGCCCAGCCCGGTCTGCATGGGCCCCATCCAGATACTTCAGGTGCTAGAGGATGTCTTTTGTCTCCCTTCCTTCCTTCCTTCCTTCCTTCTCTTTGTGGTAGGAGCCGGGCGCTTCTATGACAACATTGAAGATATGATCGGGTACAGGCCTTGGCCTCTTGTCAAATATTGTTGGCTCTTCCTCACACCGGCTGTGTGCACAGTAAGACAACCTCCAGGGAGGGGAGCCAGGTGAAGGGGTAGAGAGATAGTGGGGGCAGGAGGATAGGTAGGCTGTTAGCCTGAGAAGGAACTTCTCTGTGGGGATTGAAAGTCATTTAGATTTTCATTCATCTTCCTGTTGGATTCTAGAATATGAGAGCAAGGTAGATTTTTTCCTTTCCACTTCACAGCAGGATAGACTGAGGCCTGAGCTGTCAGAGTGTCCCACCAGCACCGCAGTGTGAGTCTGCTGTTGCAGGCAGGACTGGAAACCACGTGCAGGGGGCCGTGCGTAGTGGCACTGTTAACCACCGCAGTAATAACAGCAACCGGTTTACAAAGTACTTTATACTTTTAACCCATTTAACCCTCTCAAGGACCTCATGAATTAAAAATTACTATTGTATTTATTTCTCAGAGGAAACTGAAGCCAAAGGGGTTTAGCACTTTACCCAAGGTAGAGAGAGTGGCGGGGGTGGGGCGGGGGTGGTACTTGGCTCCAGAGCTGGGCCCTGAGCACGTTGTGCTGCTTCCTCTGGCTTTTCCGTTTGATCCTGAGGTCCCCCTGAGCACCCACAACATGCAGGCTGAAAATGGGGCCTAACCTCTGCCACCGAGGTATTTGCACCCTTACCTGATGGTGCAGGCGACTTAAACAACCGAAAGCAGGCACACTGCACACCAGCAGGCACACTGTCGTGTCTTAATTGGGAGCCAATCATGTGTAGAGGAGCTCATGGGCCTGGGGCCTGCAAGCCCAGGGAGGGACAGGGTAGGAAATACCTACCTACTGGCGGTGTGTACTTTGAGCAGAATGTGGACGGAGATTGGAAGTTGATTGGAAGCTGATTGGCCCAGATGAGACTGAAAGAAAATCTAGGCTTGGAGTGTGATCTCTGCCAGCTCCCCCAGGGGGCGCTGAAGGCACAGGGACCTTGCTTCCCAGCCCCTTGCTTTTCTGCTTTCATCTTCAGGCCACCTTCCTGTTCTCCCTGATCAAGTACACCCCGCTGACCTACAACAAGAAGTACACGTACCCTTGGTGGGGGGATGCCCTGGGCTGGCTCCTGGCGCTGTCCTCCATGGTCTGCATTCCCACCTGGAGCTTCTACAAACTCAGCACCCTCAAGGGCTCCTTCAGAGAGGTAGGGAGTTAGTGGAGAGGAACCCTAGGGGGTGATGGTGGATGGCTGCTTGCCTGGGGGGCAGCCAGTGCACAGGGGGCAGTGAGCCTGGTGTGGGGATCAGGGAGGGACAGAGTGAGTGCTGAAAAGGCTCCAAAGGAGACTGGATGCCTCCAAGACAGTGGCTGGGATCGGAGGACTGGCGACTGGAGGGTATGGCGGTGTCTGGGGAGACGGGCAGGCCTTGGTGGTGAGGGCACTGGCAGACCTGCCCCACCCCACCCCACCCCAACTCTGCCTCATGGCAGCCCCCTCGACTCTCCTTCCAGAGACTTCGCCAGCTCGTGTGCCCAGCTGAGGAACTGGCCCAGCAGAGCCAAACAGGACCCTCTGCCCCTGCCTCGCCCAGGACATCACTTCTCAGACTCACAGAACTAGAGTCCCACTGCTAGGAGGGTGGGCCCTTGGACAGTGCCTGTGGGGCTGGCCTGGGGACAGCTGCACAAGGGGAGGGTGGGAGCAGTCCCTCTGTGCTTTTTCTGTCTCCCACCTGGGGTAGACTATTAGATAAAGGGGGTATTCTGGAACCACCTTCTCAGCTGGGTGCCTCCCACTCCAATTTCCCTGCCCCAGCAGTGGCTGAGCAGGTGTGAAATGCCAGTATGCACAGCATAGCCTTTGAGAGGAGCCGAGGAAGCTGGGTGAGGGCTGGTGGGTGGGCTGAGAGGTCTGTTTGGTTTCTGCCCCTCTTACCCTTCATTCCATTAAATCAAAGTTCTTCCCGCTGACTGTGAGCAGTTTTGCCTGGCTCCTGCCCCTCTGCCTTGCTGCCTTGACACTTCTGTCACTTTAAAGTTGCAGCTTCAGGAGACCCCTGTCTCCTTCTCTCATTGAGTTCTCGTGGACCATGAGCAGAGGGCACTGCTGCGCAGAGAAGGGAGATGGGGCCTGGCTGAGTCCTCCATGACCAGGCACTTGGACTGGAGTGGTGGGGTGGTCTGTCACACCTCTGTCCATGCTTCCACTGGAGTCCCTTACCACCTCCTTCTCTCGGTGGGACAAGAAAGGCAACGGAGTGAAGAACAAAGGAGGAGACCTGAGCCCTCACTAGAGGAAGGACATGGAAAGGCTGATTGGGCTACTGCCCATGTTTCCCTTGCTGTGTCCTTGCCTGACCCTGTCTGTCAAGCCAGTTACTGTGTGGCCTGCCCAGGGCCTGGTGCCAGGGGCATAAAGAGCGAGGAGGCCTTGGCTTTGCAGACTTGAGGCAAAAGGTACAAAAAGCCCTGGCCGAGCAGGGCACTACCCTAGCTCAGCCAGCAGAGGGACCCACTTCCTCAAGATCACCCTGCTTCTGTGCTAAAAGGATAGATGCTGGATGCAGCATGGCCACGGTCAGGCTCTCAGGGCCTGAGCTACCGGATAGACTGTCAGGGTTAGGCTGCAAAGAACACCCAGGTGCATGGCCAAGCCAGAATTACTCAGGGTCAGTGGGCATGGCCTCGGCCCCAGAGGACCCCACAGCTGTGTCTCTGCAGCCTCACCCTCAGCCTCAGGAACACATGTATCTCTGTGTGTGTAGGTGTGTGTGGCTGAACACGCACAACTACATTGACCCCTGAACATGTGGAGGCGTTGGTGGCTGTGTCCCCAACTCTGTTAAATGGTTCTTCTGGTGCTGTTCCAGGGCAGCGTGCAGCGATTCCCACAGCTGAAGGTGGGGGGCGCAGTGTACCCTAGGCAGTGTTCTTAGTTTCGTTTTGTTTGTAAGTCAGTTAGTGGAAAAAACATGGGAAACTTTTTCAGTCTTCAGATTTAGATTTTTTGCTGTTGCTGGGAGAATTTGTAAGAGTTAGTGACAGCAGTCCTGCTGTCTGTTGCCTGTGGCTGTTCCTTCCTGGACAGTGACGTGGTGGGCAGCTCCACCCCCCGCCCCCGCTGTGTGCCAGGCTCAGTTCGAGTCCTGAGACCAGAGAAATCAATCCGCTAGAGAAACGTGCGGAAACTTGAGATACCACACATCTGGCATGTCCAGACATCTGGCAATATTCCCAGAACACGTACTGTATGGCTGTATGTTCATGATACATGAGGAGCAAACCTAGACACCGTCTTAAATGACAAACCGTGACAAATGCTATGAAAGAAAAGAGAAAGAATAACTAGGGTACGCAAGTAGCCTAATGGTTTGAGTTAGGTGGTCTGGGAAAGCAGAGTGGCTTTCAGACTGAGGGTGTAATGCTGGTCTCTCCACCATCCATCTCACCAAAGTTGCAAGAACCTGCTAGGCCCAGGAAGGAGTCTGGGCAGTTCAATAATGGTGATTTGAACCCCACTTGTGAGATTCATTAGTGGTGGAATATAGTGTAAAATTTATCCGTTGGCTAAGAATTTGGAGATGTGGGTTATAGTCCTGACCTGCTGCTACCGTGCCATGTGTCTTTTTAGAAGTTACTTGGAATTCAGGTCTTTGTTTTTTTTCACACGGAGATAATACTGTGCACCCCACCCACACACCCACAGGTTTGTTGTAGGGCTCACATAAGGCAGTGAGTGGGTGAGCCCTGAAGTCATTAAACCTGGGGGTGGGCGGTGGGTGAGAGGGATGTTCTCTGACAACCCAGGGGGCAACGGCAGAGATGGGTGAGGAGAGCTCCTTGCCCGAGGCGGGTGGGGCAAGGGAGCCCAGGGAAGTGTGGACGGGCCAGCTACTCCCATTCCTCTCCCCGCCGGGAAGGGCAGATGCCAGATCCTGCGGTTCTTTGAGGAAGAAGGCACAAAAGGAAGAGGGGCCCTCTCTTGTTTAGCGGCCGCATCTGTTAGAGAAGAATGGCGGAGGAAGAAAGGCAGGCAGAGATCCTTGCCGCGGGTGAGACCAGAAGCCCAGGAAACCGGAGATTTACGAACAGGGCCCCTGGAGAGAGGGAAGTCACTGATCTCGCACCAAGCCCTCTGCGCGGCCTTCGGGCCTCCGATCTCATACCTTGGACCCGGCACACGTCTCAGATCTGCACGTGTGCACACAGACACACTCCTTCATGATCGTCAGATAAACGTGCGCAAGCTTAGACGCCGCAGGCAGTGGAGCCCACTCCTTCACAGAGGCTTGCAGTGCTGACGTGTGGGTCTAGCTTCTCATTTCCTAGCTCTGCGGCTTTGGACAAGTTAATTTCTCTGATCCCCTGTTTTCTCCTCTGTAAAGTGGGAATGAGAATACTTACATCATTGTGCTGTTGGTCCCAGGGTGGAGAGCTACGCTGGGAAAGCAAATCCATCCTACTTCCTGTGGCTCTAGCCCCACCACGTTGGGTTGTCAATGAAACGGAAAAGCCCAGGAGTTAAAGACATCCTTGCTTTCCTCTAGCTTCCTGGCTGCAGGCGTCAGGTTGGCCCTGGGTGCCAGAAAGAAGGCTACACATTTACTGAGCTAAGCATGTTTGCTAGGAGGCAAGGGAGAGATCGCCCTAACACAGCCCTGCCTCCCGTGGGCCTGATGCCCTGTCACACCAGCAGTGCCATCCCAGAAAATCAGCACTGAGTCCGCCAAGCCCCAGTCTACCCCTGGTTCTGGGGGAGCAGTGCCCTCCCAGGAGAGGGAAGGCTGAGATCATTTTTTCCCCTCAAGTTGCATCCATTCATCCACCCGTCTATCTATCCAGTAAACATTGAGTGCCTACTCTGAGCCAGCACTGTATTAAATGCTAGAAGCAGAATCAAAGAGTTATGAAATGTGACCCCTGCTCTTTAAATATTCAGAGTCTGGGAAACACTATGCTGCAGTGGAACAAGCATAGATTTCAGGAGAAAAGAGGCCCAGGTTCAAATCCTCGCTCCATCGTTCACTAGCATATGGTGTTGGGGTCCGCCTTGCCTGGTTTCACAAAGCTGTAACCCCCACCGTGGCTAAGCCTGAGTGGGAGACCTCTGAACCAGGAGACACTAAGGAGACAAAACTTATCTCCCTGGCATGAGTGCTGCCTGCTCTATGTCTGGCCCCCATTGCTTGGTCGGTTAGTCAATGATGGGTAACATTCCTCAGAGGAGGGTGGATATAAGATAGGCATGATCACGTGAGAAGGCCCTCAGGGAAGAGACTCAGGGGGCTGTGGAAATGAGGGGGTGATCGACCCCTGCCCCCTTGGCTTTGACAAGCCTGAGTCATTGTTCTGGCTGAGAGAAATCCAAATCTCCCGGCTGCCTTTGTCTCCTCTGCCCGACTCAGGCCTGCGGCAATAACAAGGGGCAGTGCAGTCCAGATTAGAGTCTGCGGACCCCCAGGGTAATCAGACCTGAGGCACAGAATATGCAAGATCCTGTGAGACCTGCTTGCTGAGGATGCTCTTGAATTAGAATATGAAGGCACTAGCAGGAAACGAAACTAACATTTTAGGTCCTGCAGTTTTTAGGTGATAAAACCCCAAACTCAATATGAGCCCTTTTTAGCTCTTTGAAAGTTACTATTTGTTTGATCTTCCCTGCCAGACTGTAATCAACAAACTGTATCTGTGCTTCTAATAAAAGCCTACTCAGGCAGCGGCTCGGGGCGCTCTCCCATTGAGGGAGTGGCCATGCCGTTCCTATTCCTCCACAGGACTCGGTAGTCCATGTGTATTTCTCTTGTATCTCGAGCATCTGCAGCGGCGATGGATAGTGCTGCCCGGTATCCGCCTCGGTATGGCCATAGGGCACATCAGTTATCTTCTATTCACTCAAAGTTCTCAGATATAAAATGTGGCTAACAATTCCTGCATTTCAAGGTTCCTCTGGGAGTTAAATGGGGTAACACATACGTAGCCTGAGTTAGATGCTCAGGAAATAGGTCCCACGCCAGGCCCTCTGAAAGCAGGGGTGGGGGTGGAAGACGAGAAGAGTCAGTGGGGTTCATGGTTCTCACTGCAGCAAGATAACTGATTTACCTAACCATATTCCATCTTGTCCTGGACCCTCCCTAGTCTGGAAACAGCTCAGTCTTAAGTAGGCTTTCTGGGTAATTTAGGGACCCCACCTTTTGCACAGATGGGGATCTCTGGCCTCCAGGGGTTTGCCGATTGGTCTGAATACCCAGTGGGGGTTGGCAGTGCTGGGGTAAGGGTGGGCATGAGTGTGTGAGGGCTCGAGTTAAAGGGAGGCCTGGTCAAACAAGGCAGCTACTCTCCTACGAGGTGAAGGAGAGGTGACGAGGCTGCTGGGCCATGCATATCCCCAGGTCCTCACAGAAAGCCTGACACATTGTAGGCATGAAATAAAAGTTGTGAATGAATTTGTGAGCGAGCCAGAAATTCAGCCTCTGCCTACTGATTCTTTTTGTTCTCTCTCCCCTTCATGGAGAGGCTGAGTGGGTACTTTGCTCTGGAATAGCTGCCTGGACTTCGATGTCCCCTCTGCAGGAAGCTACAAGATGACACATGGTAGCCTGACATGTGGGGACAGGGCTGATGCAGCAGTGCAGGCCACACCACCCAAGGTGAACGTGGGGGTGGCTGCAGTGTGAGTTCCAGCTACTCTGCCTAAGCTGCCCCAGCCTACCTGTACTTGCACAGAGGCGAAGGTGAGAACTGAGGCTCACTCTGGGTTTCCCATCAAGGGAAACCCACAGGAGGTGCTGAGAGGGGCCTGAGATGCAGTGAGGGGGTGTTTGATGGAAAATTACAGACTGAGATTCTCACTTCAAGCCCAGCCCTGCTGGGCAGTTCTTAAGTACAAAGGGGAAGCTCATGCAAAGGGAAATTTCCCTTTCTCCCCACAACTTCCCCTCCTCCACACCACCTAGAGCTGAAGAAGCATCTTCGTTGCCTTAAACGAGACACTGGCTGTTCTGACTCAGTGGGCCTGGGACAGCCCTGTCTCTAGCCCCGGGAAAGTGTGCTCAGGAATAGCCATAGGAACCTGTTCTGGAGAAGCTCTCTGGGCACGTAGCATGGGACATACACACTATTCCACACAGTTCACCACTGACAGCTGCCCAGCAACCAGACAAGTCTCAGCCGTGAGCCTTAGTGCTGAGAGGTGCCCTGAGCACTATTGCACTGCCCGGGCCCACATGCTCTCCCACGCCAGCCCCCGCTCTCAGAGGAAACAATGAGCACCTGCAGCTCCCCCTGAGCACCTCTGGGTTATCCTCAGCAGTTTTCCCTATTGTTTCAGCCCTCACAGCAACTCTGCAATGTGGGCATTGTTACCTACCTTTGACAGAACTGATAAACAGAGGCTCAGTCCCTTGCCTAGCTGGTACGACCGGTAAATGACAAGAGGAAGGGTCCAAACTCAGGCCTGACTGCAAACCTGTGTCCTGCGGGTTCCTTGAGGTGTGGTCTGGGCATTTTCTCTAGGAAAATCCCAAGGAAAAGGGTGGCTGTTGTGAAGGTCCAGAGCCTGCCTTGAAACCACAGAGGGCAGGTACTTGGTGGAAAAGTCCAGCATGTGATTCACCCTCCTCCTGAGCTCTGTCACTGAGGCCAACTCCCCTTCTGTGGTTCTCAGTTTCCAGCCTGGGAGTTGGTGGCTCCATCCTTCTGCTCTGGCGAGAGAGGGCTGTCCCCTGCCTGTAAGTCCCCCTCTCCTTACCCCACAGAAGCAGCTGGTGCCAGGACCAGGAGGGGCAAGGTGAGAAGGGGAAAGCGGGAGAGGGCAAGGAACAAGACAAGGGGAGGTGAGGTCGGATGCGAGTCTCTGAGCCAGGTGGGGAGGGGTCCACTTGGGACAGAGCCATGAGCAGGGCAGCAGGGGCTACAGAGAGCTCCAGTGGGGGTGAGGGCCTCAGGGCAGAGGGCTTGACTTAACTGAGGTTAGATGTTGTAATTCTGGTTCACAAACTTTTGACCTCACCCTCTCCTGTTGTTTGTGGTATTTCTCTGCCCCTTCACTTCCCAATACACTCACACTCACACACACACACACCAGTTGCTCCCTGTCTGGGAGCCCCAGGACATGGCTCAGATGGGATTCTGAGCTGGGCAGACAGAAGGAGCAAAGGTGGAGGACAGCTTCCCTTTCAGGTCCTGTCTCCCCAGTATTCCTGTAGTGGCTTCCCTGAGGCTCCCCTGGGGACCTGAGGCATGGAGCTGAGCTGACCACAGGAGCCGGGACCGGGGGCTGAGGTGAGCAGGAGGTGGAGGGCTGGGCTGTCTCCACAGGCTCCGAGAGGACCCTCAGAGAGGCTGCTGGAGTCTGAGGCCTGAGAGGCAAGACTGTGTGAGTGTGTGTGTCTGTGGTGCAAGGCATGGGGGCCACAGCACAATCTGTTGCCTGGGGATCTCAGCACAAGGGGTGTCCCCGCTCCCTCTCACCCCCACAGCGTCCGAGTTGCTTGGGGACAACCCTGGGGAGAGAGAAGTCGGTAGATGAGGGGATGGCCACAGGAAGTGGGTGAAAGAGGGGGTGACCACCTGACTGAGAGGGAGAAGGAATCAGATAGTGCCCAGCAATGTGGGAGGGAAAGCAGGCGGAAGAAACCTCGGCCGTTCCCGAAGGCCCACGGTCTGCAGTCAGCAGTCTAAGTGAGGGGCTCCTGCCCTTCCCTGCCAGCAGAGTGGGAGGAGGGAGCTGCCTGGCTCAGGAGCGGCGTGGACATGCTGGCGCCTGAAGGGGGTAGTGAGGGGCTGACAGAAGGCGCAGGTGGCCACCAGCCAAGGCAAGCGGCCCCCAGGGTGTGAAGGACTAGATGGGAGCCAGGTTTTGGTGCCATGCACACAGGTATGCGTGTGCAAAGGGACGTGACGGGAATGGCACCAGTGTGTGTACAAAAATGGGAGCTGGTATGTGGGTGTGGGCTGAAGCAGGACTTGGGGTGTCCCGTGCCGGCCTGGGGTGTGATGGGGCTGAGCTGGGGCCCCAGCAGTTCTGGAGGCAGAGATTCCACACTTGCCTGCTCCTCTGCCAGACCCTGGCCAGGTTCCATCCACGTGCCTGCCTCCCACAAACAGTTAATTTCAGACTTGCTAGCCTTTTGAATATTTCCCTGATGGGCAGCATTCAGCCCCATGTGGCTGCTGGTGTCTTCACTTCTGGAGGGCGCTGAGGTATGGTGAGGCCTGCTGGATGCCCCTGGACCCGGCCCCAGCTTAGCTGAGCAGGCGGGCAGCCTGGGGAGGTGATGCCAGAGGTGGGCGAGGGTCAGAGCTGGGTGGATCGCTGGGAAGGGGGAGATCTCTGGAAGTCATCTTGACTGTGGATAACACTCTTGCTCACTCCTAGCAAATGGGCTGAAGTAGAAGGGCACAGTGGGGGCGGGGTGAGGGTAGCCAGAGAGCCAGGTGTGCTGTGCTTTTGGCTTTTAAAAGTAACCCAAAAAGGAGACCTCTGTACAGTTTGTTTTTATGCCTAACATCTTCCTGGACATTTCTTCCCTGAGTCTAAGTTGAATCTCACCTGCTGCAATTTAAGCCTGTTTCCTCCAGACTTAACACAGCTCTGGGCCACATTTCCTTTCTTCTTTTTTTTTTTTTAACTACCATTCAGTCCCCTTATACCTCCCTCACCCCAGCAACACCTTTTCTTTTTAGAAGCCCTTGTTTTCATTCTCCCAGTCTGGTTTTTCATTCTCACCCATAAGTAATGATCCACCTAATGACTTTCTTTAAAAAAGATCCTCACCCAAGGATATGTTTATTGACTTCAGAGAGAGAGGAAGGGAGAGAGAAACACTCACATGAGAGAGAAACATCGATCCGTTGTCTCCAGTACACGCCCCGACCGGGACTGAACCCACAGCCTAGGTACGTGCCCTGGTGGGGAGCGGAGCCCACGGCCTTCCGTGTTTGGGCGACGCTCCGACCACTTGAACCACCTGGCCAGGGCTCAATAACGTTTTTTGTTCTTTTTTCAATGTCACATTAAGTGTCCGTGCATCATGTTCTCTTTCTCTACCCCCTCTGTGAGACAACCCAAATCCTGTGCCCAAACTGGGTTCTGAGATTTGCTTCCCAATCCCACACACTCTCCTCTGGTTTTTCCTTCATTTACTCTTTTCCCTCCTCCAGCTGCGGAGGACAGCTTGGCCCTGAAGTCACTGCCTCTGGTCTGGGAACAGTAAGGCTTGTCTTCGGACCGTCCTCTTGGCGACTCGTGCGCTTGGGCTCACCCTGAGCTGAGCCACCCTATGGCTTGGCAAGGGAAGGCAATCATCTCTCCTTGTCTTTTGTGGGTCTTATTCTTGTCCCTGTCCCCCCACTCCAACACCCCTGTTGAGCAGGGTCATTCTCTCCTCCAGGGAGGCCTGCAGCCTGGGGAGGAAGAGTGAGGTCACACAGCAAGGCAGAGACACAGCTTACTGTATTGGTAAGTGTATTCAAACTATCCAAAAAAACTTTACTGAGCACCTGCTTAGTGTCAGGTCTTGCTCTTAATTTCTCTCAGCATTTCCTCATGTATAAAGTGAAGTTAATAGTAATGCCTACTTCACAGATTTATACCAATGTGAAATTTAATAATGTGTATAAAGATGTGTGTGTGTTTTAGGACAGTGCTTGCTCAAATGTTAACTTTGGTGACTATTATTAGCTAGGTCTGGACTTGGGTTTCTGCCTGGTGCTTTTTTCATCAGTGTGTTTTAGTTCGTTCATTCATTCATTCATTCATTCATTCCTTTCATAATGATTCAGAGGCCATTCCTCAGGGTGCCCCAGGCCCAATTCTGTAGCAGCATCCAGGTGGGTTCGGGTATCACCAACTTTTCCCCTGGGGCCAGGCCACCCTGTTCTTTCAACCCGAGGCTCTGGTTCTCAAGGCCCCCTGAGGTCTGCTGCTCACTCTGAACCTGCTGCTCGCTCCACTCCCTTATTCCGCTCCTGCTCCCTTATATCAGAGGCTGAGGGCCTCTGGCTTCCATGGGGTGCCTCTCCCCTCATCTTCCCTCCCAGACTGCGCCTGCAATAGCAGCCTCTGAGTAGGTGCCAATGCCGGAATTTCACCCTGACATGCTTTTCCATTCCTGGGATAACCTGCACCCTTCAAGTCACCTTCAAAAATTTCCATAACCTCAAATGACTCCTGCCACACCTTTTTAACCAACTTGGGCTTGGGCTGTTGCCTGGGTTAAAAGGACTAACAAATAAACACAGACTCTTCTTTTAATAAAAAGGATCCTTTGTGTTTCTCCAGAGCCTTGGAGGAGCACAGAGCACTTGGCAGCCCCCAGTCCCTTGATGCCCCCCAGTGCCCTTCCTTCGGAGGCAAGGGGCAGTGGGTGGGTGGGTGCTCACCTCTGCCCCCTCGGCACCGCCTCCCGGCAGCTTCCCAGAAACAGGGGCAGAGGTAGCCTCAGGGAGATCGTGGGGTGCCGGGGAGAGAGGGGAAGGCAAACAGGGATTTTTAGATACAACACCAGGGTGCAGCCATTGTCTCGTGGCAGTTGACAGACAGTGAGCGGGCAGAGTAAAACTGGAAGGGGCCCATGTCATTTTCCTGGAAGCCCAGGGAGTTTGGGGCTCTTTAGGAAGGCAGGGAGCAGGGAAGGGCAGTGACCTGCATGATGAGCAGCTACTTCTGGGTTTCCCTTGAGGGGACCACACTGATGTGAAGAAGACCACCACCCAAGTGAGAATCGCTCTGGGAGCCCCTTCTATCACCAGGACCCCACCCCTCTTCTTAGGACGGAGCTACAACCGAGAGAAAGAGAACCAGTGTGCCCCTGAAGGTCTACCGTCGGCCCTGGCACCAGCCCCGGTTCTCATCTGGCCTTGTGCAGAGGCCCCACCTTCCCCTTCCCTCCCAATCAGCATCTCCAGCTAGCAGGCTCCCATGTTTACCCTGCCTTGGTCGATCACCCTGGCACAGGGATGAGCACACAGCGGGCCAGAGGACGACCATGCAGTCATGTTGGCAATACCTGCCCTCTGACCTCCTGTCATCCCTGGCAGCCTTTGATCCCTTCCGGCCTGGAGGCTGGAGGCTGAGGAGCTGGTGCAGACAGGTGGCTGGCTGTCAAGATCAAAAGAGACTTGGAATAAAAGGTCCCAAACCTGGGTTTTAATATAGTCCTAAATGGTTTTAGGCAAGTCACTTCACCTGTCAAGGCCTGGATTTTCCCATCTGCAAAATGGACACACAAGGATTTGGTCCCTCTTCATTCTCAGAGTCATGAGAGCAGAGCATAATTTTAGGTGTAAATGGTTAGATGGTTTTGGACGAAAATCAATATTAAAGTAATATTCCAACATCAAAGCAAAGATGAAGATGGAGGAAGCGGCCCGTGTGTGTCGGGTTGCACAACTCATCTCTCTCCTCCCACCAGGCTGCACCTCTCACTGCCCTGCCTCCGCCCAGCTCGGCGCCTCCATCCATTCCGTGGCTATGGACAGAAAAGTGGCAGTCCACGAGGACGGGCCTCCCGTGGTGTCCTGGGTTCCCGAGGAGGGAGAGAAGTTGGACCAGGAAGGCGAGGACCAGGTGAAGGATCGGGGCCAATGGACCAACAAGATGGAGTTTGTGCTGTCAGTGGCCGGGGAGATCATTGGGCTGGGCAATGTCTGGAGGTTCCCCTATCTCTGCTACAAAAATGGAGGTGGTGAGTTCACTTTGAGGTAGGCGTGGTGGGGAGAGCTCTGCCCTGAGAGCCAGGCAGTGCCGGCCTGGGTGCCTCCTGCCTGGGCAGCATGGTAAAGTGCAAGGAGCCTTGAATGGAGTTGGAGGACTTGAGTTCAAGTTCTGCCTCCACCACTGGCCTTGGTGTCCCCCTCTGTGACGCGCCGGTGGCACCCCATAGGGCTACAGTAAAGATGAAAGGAGGCAGCAGCAGGACCCAGGAATCTGAGTTTTGAATAAGTTCCTTCATTCCTCTGCATAAATGTCAGCTGTTGACAGGATTCATTCATTTACTCAACTAACATCACTGTGGGCCTACCGTGTGCCAGCTGCTGCTCTGGATACAGAACAGAACATAGTCTTTGTTTTGTGTTCTGGCGGAGGGTGGCAGATGGCAGGCACGTGGCACAATATGTGGCGTGTGCAGTGGTCGTAAGTGAACGGGTGAGAAGCAAAGCTGGGAAGAAGGAGAGGAATGCTGGGTCGACAGGCTGGGGGGAGGGGTTTGAAATGTAAAATAAGGTATGAGAAAAGGTTTCATTGGGGAAGTGGCATTTGAGTAAAGACTTTGAGGAGGTAACGGCGGCCCCCTGGGGATGGACTCCAGGTGAAGGGCATTCCAAACAGAGAGAACAGCGGCTCAGGGCTTGTAAGCTCTGCTCTGAGTGAGGTGGAACCACTGAGGGATTTTGACTAAAGAAAAGATATTATCTTGTCTGTCTATGATTTTTTAATTAAAGAAATGTAATTTCATTATTTTTCAGCACTGGTAGTAAGAATGAGCTGGGACAGGGTAGGGAGAGCCATGATGATTTTTCTAAGTGTACAATGGCATGGGTTTTAGTAGACTCGCAGAATTGTGCAACCGTCACCACCATCGACTTTAGGGCCTTGGAACAGTTGCTCCCCTCCCCTTCTCTTCGCCAGCCCCGCCAGCTGACCATCTGCCTTCTGTGGCCGTGGGTCTGCCTGTGGGGATGCTTCGTAGTTCTCTGAAGTTACATGTGACTGGCCAGATCCATTTTTGCTTTTTGAAATAAGTGCATTCTTCTTGTGGAAATAGTGTATGTTTATAGTGAATATTAGAAACGTTCTGAAGGTAAAACAAAGAAACATTCCCATTTAAAGATAACCATTGTTTAGAAAATCCCTTTAAACACGATTTATATTTAATTTGACAAAATTTTACTGAGTATCTATCACGTATCTTGCTCTGTGTTTTAAAACTTACAGTTATTATCACAAACTGCCTGGAGCAATGAATGCAAAGAAATAGAAACGGGGTTTGCTGGGCAGGTCAGGGCTACGTTTGGAGCCAAGGCCGGGAGTGGGGGCTGATGCTGGGCCAGTGCTGAGGGGAGGCAGGAAGAAGGGGTGCGGTGGTGACCTACTTCTTTGTCCCAGGCCACAGTTTCGTGGACACATAGGATGTTAGAGCTAGAGCTAAAGATGGACTGGGCTGAGCCCTCATTTCATAGAAGAGGACACGGGGGTCAGGGAGTTCAGTGACTGGCCCGGAGCCCTGGAGCCGGGTGGTCGCAGGAGGCCCTAGTAGCCAGGTTTGCCGGCTCCCACATCACTGCGTGTGCCTTGCCCTGTCATCTGAAAAGAAGGGGATGCGGCCAGGTTCCAGTGCCTGCCCTGCCGCAGTCCTGCCTGGTGGCTGCAGCTGTGGCCATGACCTCTGTACTGGCTGTGGGCAGGGTGGAGTGATAAGGACCTATGACAGTGTGCAGTGGCACCGGGCTGAGCGTAAGTCATCTGTGACATGGCAGGACTAGACCACATTTCCCGTGCAGGGTCTGTGTTCATCTATGTCACCTGTGTCCTTGTTTAGTTCTGTCCTGGCCTCACTACTTGCCCCTATCATGTGTCTACCTGGAGCAAGAGGGGCTAAGTGAGGTCAGGGGTTCCCATCAGGGCCACTGGTCCTTGGGGCTCTAGGAAGATGGTAATGAGGCCCCAGGAATTCACGTCCTTGTCCAGACGATGTAATAGATCTCTGTGGGAACATGGCTTCACAGACTGACCTGGATGTCAATCTTTTGCTTTAGGCTAAAACTGTGCTCACTGTGGTAATACAGTTTACCTCAAGCTGACCATGGTCCTGGTTGGTGGTTAAATATAGTTTTGACCAATATATTAATAAATAATAATTAATTAATAACAACTAATAATTATTAATGAGTATTGGTTAAAATTGGTTTTTAATGGATTGTTAATTAATAATTAATCAACTGGTAATTAATTATTAGTTAATACATAGTTCTGTAGAGAAAAACATTTCAAAAGGGATAAAAAATAATAAATTCATTGGTATAATAATATCTTTGGTTACCAAACCAGATCATCCTCAAGAAATTATTAATTCCAAAAGAGCATTTTATGAGTTTCTGAATTTCCTGATGGCCAGCAAGTGCGTGGTGGAGATAAGGAGGTACACCTGAGCGCAGAGGGAGGGCGAGCTCACGAGCCTCTGGTCGCCCGATGCACAGAGGCGCCCAAGGGCATCCCGGACTGCCAGTGCCTGTGGCCTGGGTGGGGGCCCGAGAAACTATGAGCCAGGACCACCTCCAAAGCAAGGGTTCCGAGAAGCTCATAGAGGGGAGGGCGTTTGCAGGGACCATGTGTTGGGAATCCAGGGAGAAAGCCAAGGATGGAGGACACCCCGGGCCATAGGCGGTCATGGCCCCCAGGGCCCAGAGGACCCTCAGTGCTTCTCACAGGCTGCTAATGGGAATTCAGGTTGGGTACAAGAGGTTCAGAGGGCAGTCTGGAAATGCATGTCACAGGCCTTAAAAAAATGTTCATACCTGAAATGTAGAAAGAGCCCAAATGTCCGTGCATGGATGGGTGCACAAACAAAATATGGTCTGTATATAATGGGCATGTTATTCAGCCTTGAGGAGGAAGGTCATTCTGATGCACACTACAACATAGTTGAATCTTGAAGACACCATGCTAAGTGAACTAAAAGGATAAGTCCTGTGTGGTCCATTGTACATGAGGCACCTAGATCAGGCAGATTCAGAGAGAAAGAATGGGGGTTAGCGCTGGGAGAGGAGAAGGGGGAGATGGTGTTTGATGGGGACAAAGTTTCAGGTTGGGATGATGGTGGTGATGGTTGTACAACAGTGTGAAGTTTCTTAATGCCACTGAAGTATACACTTAGAATTGATTAAAATGGTAACATTTATGTTAAGTATATTTTACCACAAAAAAAGCCAAAAAAGAAAGTGCATGCCCTCTGACCCATCAATTCCTCTACTGGAAATTCATACTAAGGAGCAAATTAGACAAGTGCACAAGGGTGTGGGTGAGGGTCTTTATGGCAGTAAGCACCAAGAAAGTGTTCTATGTTACCACTGGGAGCTAAACAATAGCCATCCACCCCTGGCACACTTTGGAGGCTAGGCATGCGTCTTTGTGACTGAAGTCGGTACCGTGGGCTTAGGGCTGCCTTCGAATCCACTCGTATGTAACTCGCTGGATGTCTTTCAGCCCCAGCCTTCTGCCAGGGCCTCTAGGTCAGTCAGTGCCTGATCACCCGGCTGGTTGACAGCCCGGTCCCTGAGAGTTGGGCTGAGCAGAGGAATGGCCTTCTCTGCTGAGAGCCCAGTTCAGACCAGAACCAGGAGGAGGGAAAAAAAATCCCTCTGAAAATTATTAGAAGGAAAGTAATTTTTCCAAGGTAGTGTTGTTTTTTTAAATTTTAAAAATATGGTTATTGATTTTAGAGAGAGAGGGAGGGAGAGACAAGCACTGCTGTGAGACAGGAACCTCAGCTGGCTGCCTCCCGTGCATGTCCTGACTAGGGATCGAGCCCACAACCCAGCTATGTGCCCTGACTGGGAAATGAACTCCCAACCTTTTGGTGTAGGGGGCGACGCTCCAAGCAACTGAGCCACACCAGCCAGGGCTGCTTGTTTGTTTTTCTCTAAAGTGTAACAAACTCGATAATTTAATAAGCATATCAAATTATATAGAACACATGTTTTTGTTCCAAAAATAATAAATTGACTAGATCTGTGAAGCTCGCTGAGCAAATAAATAGTGCATATATTAGGGTTCCCATTGCAATTTCCTTTCAGAGATCTTTCCTGTCCTGACTACAGTTTGGACTGGAAAATTTCTGCTGCTCCCTGGGCTCAGACAGGAGGAAGCTGACTGCGTCCCTGGGAGGAGTGGGGAGGGATACGAAGGATGCTGGGGTTGGGGCACGGGTCTCTGAAAGAGACCTAGGGCTGGAAGGCTCAGCCCCTGCCTCTCCCTCCACTGCAGGAGCATTCTTCATCCCCTACTTCATCTTCTTCTTCACGTGCGGGATCCCGGTGTTCTTCTTGGAGGTGGCATTGGGCCAGTACACCAGCCAAGGGAGTGTCACGGCCTGGAAGAAGATCTGCCCCCTTCTCCAGGGTGAGTGCTCTCCCTTGCCTGCCTCCATCTGTCCGTTGACTCTCCCTTCCTATTGCTCACTGCCCTGTAGCTCCTCCACTCTCATCCTGTGCTAAGTGCTGTGGGGGACGCAGGAAGTCTAATTAGGCTTTGTGGGGCCCAAAGCTTATAAATCCCGAGGAGGAAGGCACTCCTCAAGAAAGTCAATGCAGAGTCACAAATGAAAAACCAGGACCGGAGTTTTGCAAAGGGGGGCCCTGGAGCTTCATCTTCGGCAGCTTCACGATAAACACGTTCCTGTGTACAGGGTGTGGCCCCAGATGTGCCTCTGAGGTGTATATAACACTAGTGATGATGATGAGGGCCGGTATCTGTTGAGCCCTGCCTTGTGTCAGGGCTCATGCCAGCACTTCCCATGCTAACCCTCACCTAACTCCTCACCTAACCCTCCAATAATAACTCGAGTCACCTCATTTTGTAGGTGAGAAAAAGAAGCTCATTCACTCGGGGTTCGAACCCAGGTCTACCTGAGCTGAAGGCTCATGCTCTTTCCTTCGTTAGGGACAGCTTCTGTCCTCCTCTCCTTGCGTCTGTCGGCACTGATGTGAGCGGCTGGGGGTGTCTGTCCACCATCGCCTCTAGAGCTGATTAGGCCAGTCCCCTGGGGGCCAGTGGGAAAGAAACCCAAGGGGTCTCCTTGTCCCTCAGAATTTTCTCGAATATTTGAAATGAAGAAAAGACTCTTTTCCTCATGTCAGCCCCTAAGGGAGCCCCAGAGACCAGGCTACCTAGGACGCTGACCAGCTTAGTAGACTGGACAAAAGTGGGTGTAGTGGGGGACCCTGCTCCTGAGCAGGTTCGGAACCTGATTGCTGATTAGGGGTGTGCAGGGTGGTGGGGCAAAGCTGGTTTCTCTTGGGGCCTCCATAGGGCTCCTGTAGGGGCACTGTGGAGCTTGGCCAGCCCCGGTTGTGCTCTGGGGTTCTGGTCACCCGCAGCGGCCTAATTCCAGCAGGGCCAAGCCAGCTCACGGAGGTACAAGCAGGGCTGGCCTCTTGGGCGTGAAGGCACCGTGGACAGGGGAGCACACCCAGCATGGGAAGGGTATTCAGGAAGGCACTGCTGCTCCCTCCGTATTTTCTCAGTTAAAGAGACCCCAAGGTGTAGGGTCTCCGGGAGTCACTCACTCAAGTTGTGTGTACCTATGTGGGTTGAATGGTCCAGGCCACTTCCTATGCATGCCCTCCACCTGCCTAACGCCCCCCCCCCCAATGTCAGCCCTCCCAGGGAACCTGCAAACACGGGACAGGGCACCCACACCCACTTCCTCCCTCAACTTACACACAGGCGCAAGCTTCTTTCCCAACCTCATTCCCACCCTCAGAGTTGGGTGCACCCCTTTCCAGCCTGGCACCAGGCCTCCTAGTATGGATGGGGCCCAGGGGGATGAGCAGGTGGTGGGGGCCCAGCACCCCTGCCACACAGTGGCCGCTTGGTTGGTGTGTGGATCTGTGAGCTCTAAATACTCCGGCCCGTGGCTGCCAGCTGCCCCCAGGGACCCCGTCTCCATCGTCTCCATTAGGAGCCCTGGGGGCCACCTCTCTGGACGCCCAACCCAAGGCTGCCCTGGGTCCCTGTCCGCCCCACCCCAAGGCCTGGATGCTTCGCAGAGACTTTCCCCACCCCCACCCCGACCCCGACCCCGCAGGAACCCTTCCTGCCTCTGGTGCAATTTGCTAGATTGGCCAGACCAATGGGAACAGATAATCTGGGCCGGTTCCTTGGGCACGGGGTGGGGGTGAGGGGCGATGTTGACAGCGCAGATTGTTCGCCCGCTCTAGGGCTGTCTGTAGCTCCCCAGCCTTCTTCATTCTTTAGTTCTTTACTTCATTGTTTAGGCGGGGCCCTGCGCGGGCTTTCACGCCTCCAGACTCCTGGCCTTGGTGTCTAGATACCTTTAACTCGGCTGTGGCAAAACCCCTGCTCTCAGAGCTCTCAGAGGATGCAGGCGGGGTGGGTGGGGGACTGCTCCCGCCCTTGCCCCTCCCACCCCAGTCTGGTCGGCCCGGGAGAAAGGCTGCACTTGAGGCTCCCACAGCTTCGAGGGGTTAAAGAGCATCCTTTAGGCTCCGCCCACACTCGAGGGGTGGGGTGGGGTGGGGTGGGGCGACGGTGGAGGAGGTGGGCAGGGTATTGAGGATGAGCAGGCTTCAGCGGTCTGCACAGCCTCACAGCTCCGTTCCTTGCCGCTTTCTTCTGGTTTTGGCTCTTATTTTCAGACTGATTCTTACCAAACGTTCCCTACTTACTACTGTGTCCTTCCTGCTTTTTTAAAAATTTTACAAGTAATGCATAATTGTAATAGAAAAACTAGATAATTCAGATAGGCAAAAAAGGGGAAAAAACTTTAAACAGTGAACTCAAATCCTACCACCAAGAGCAGCGGTTTTCAGCCAGTGCACAGCAGTGCCTGCCTATGTAGTCAGGGGCACAGACGCCTTTCCCCTACACTGTCAGGTGAGAAATGACCGCAGCCAGCACAACAGCAGCTGTCCAGTGTGAATGAATAAAATTTATACCTATTTTTGTCAGATTGGCAGAAAAATATATATTTTTGTTGTGCTGCAGAATCTTAGTCATTAGTACATGTGTGCCATGAGATAAAAAAAGGTTGAAAACTGCTGGTCTAGAGAACTACTGATTAACTATTGGATGATGGTCCTTCCAGAATTTTCTCATGGAAAAAAAAGATATGTATTCAAATACAGATTATAAAAATGGGAGGATGCATAGGATATTGTTCTGGAACCTGCTTTTCTTACTCAGAAAAATAGGCTGCACATGGCTTCTCAGGGCAGCAAACCAGCCAGTGGTTCTCCTTGTGTAGCACTCAGGACCCTGATCCAACTGGCAGCTTCTAGGTGACTGTTTTGGACTGACATTGATCTCTTGGATGCTCTTGGTTTTTTGGCCCCTCCCTACCCCACCCGGAAGGCATTGGTTTGGCATCTGTGGTCATTGAGTCCTATTTGAACGTCTACTACATCATCATCCTCGCCTGGGCCCTCTTCTACCTGTTCAGCTCCTTTACCTCTGAGCTGCCCTGGACAACATGTACCAATTCCTGGAACACAGGTATTCATTGTTTCAGCCCCTGAGATGTGGGCTGTCCCTAGGGGCCCGGCCTGCGGTGGCTGGATAGTGTCAGAGGTTGGCAGGGTGGAACCAGCAGTGTCAGACACTTGGGGAGGGGGAATGATCCCATGAACCACCTGAGAAGCCAAGTCCTAATACTTCTGGGCTGGGGGCTCCAAAGGAAGCTCTTGGGACCCAGAATGATGAATACCACCAGGCTGAAAGGCCACAGGGTCAGGGGTACTATGGTGTGAGGGTGCCTTTCCTCATCTTGTCCCTAGCTAATTCATTCCTCACCTTGTCCAACAGAGCATTGCATGGACTTTCTGAACCACTCGGGAGCCAGCACAGTGATGCTCTCTGAGAACTTCACCTCACCTGTCATGGAATTCTGGGAGTAGGTGTTTGCCTGGTTGCCAGGGGCCAGGGGATCTCAAGCAGAGAAAGTTTGGATGTCTGAGGCCTGGAATTTTGGGTGCAAGTTCAAGGCTCTCTGTGCATGTTTTTCAACACTTACCCCACCCCACACATCACTGAGAGATGAGGGAATGCTCACATCTACCCACAGGTGTCCAACTACAACTCCTAAATCTCCCTGTGTGCACCCAGATTCACACATTTATCCATGTCAGCTGGCATGCCTCCCCGTACCCTCACATTCCTTGCACCCCACATACCCACCAGGACTTACACATCCACTCACACATGTCCCCTGGTGTGCTGGAAACATTCTGGACCAGCTCAGGAGAGCTGATTGTGCACATCCTTTCTCAACTTCGTGTTCAGTCACGTTGGCCAAGTTGGGAGTATTTACACCATGGAAATTGGCAAACCCTGCATTCACACATTCACCCTCCTACATGACCACTTAGACCCTCACACCCATTTGTGCCCACACATGTCCACCTGCACTCTCACACATTTCCATCACCCCCATTTACCTCTGTAGACACTATCACACACTGGGCCCACCATTTGATAACCATACACTTCCTCATTGACCTGCAACTATAAATATTTACCCTCTATATACTCATTCATATAGTCTTCTCTTCTTCTTCTTCATCTTCACCTTTGTCTTCCTTCTCTCCTCTCCTCTCCTTTCCTCTCCTCTCTCTTTGCCTCTCTCCTCCCCCGCCCCTCCCCTCCTCTGCCCCAACAGAAAGGTCTAGGTGAATTAGAAAGACAAAGACCCTATGGTATTACTTGACTTGGTCTTCAGCAGTCAGGGACACAGACAACAGGCAAACACAGCAGGGCCATGGGAAAGTGGGTGCGTGGAGGCAGGGGAAGCCTAGAATATGTGATCTGGGGGGTCAGCTCTAAGAATCAGGAGACTTGAAGACAGAGACAAGTTGTCCCCTTTAGCCTTTCACTTGGTCATTTATTTTTTCCAACCCATCAGGAGACGCGTTCTGGGCATCACCACAGGCATCCATGACCTGGGAGCCCTGCGCTGGGAGCTGGCCCTGTGCCTCCTGCTTGCCTGGGTCATCTGCTACTTCTGTATCTGGAAGGGGGTCAAGACCACAGGCAAGGTGAGGTGTTCTGCCTTCTGGCAAGCTCTCTGTGGCCCCCAGAATCCTCGGGGACATTTGCAACATCTCTTTGGAGAACTGAAAGAAAACATATTTAAGGGAGAGGCCTGGTGAGAATAGGGGAAATTGTTGAAGGCAGAATTTAATTCAGTACAAGGAAATACAAGGAAAGACTTTCTTTTTTCAATATGATTTTAAAAGACCTGTTTACATAAGTAACATACAAAGCAAAATAAGAAACACAAAAGCACCACGGTCAGAGCTGAGCACCATACAGCCGCCATCAACACGCAGCAGGTCGGCCCTGCTAATCCCTCCTTAAACGTTTTGCTGGGCTGCCTTCTTGTTTCCTCTGCATGCATGGCTGTATCTGTTATGTGTGTGCATTACACAGTTAGGATCAGACACTCTTATGACGTGCTTTTTGTGTTTAACAACAAACACATCAAGACAAAGTTTAGCTTGAGCTAGCACACAGAACTGCCTTTGAGGTGGTGAGTTTCCAGTCACTGAAGGGGTTATAGCCAAGAGTGGACAAAGAGGCTTATTGTATGGACAGAGACAGCTCAGTTTTGAGCATTATTTCCAAGGCAGAGAAGCTGAGACTGATGCTTCATGCTTTTCACAGCCAGGAGTAGACAGATACCAACTTCTCTGGATAGCCTGCTACCACAGCAACTGCCCCCTTCCGTGGATTGTGGAAATAATAATAATAATAGTGATGGTAATGATAAAAATAGGAATAGTCATAACAATAACATGGATAGTGCTGCCATCTCGAGTAAGGGGCTGAGTGTGGTCAGGGCCAGAGTGGGTCTCCCTCTGAGTGTCCCCAGTATCCCAGAGCTCAGGCCACTGATGCTCCCCTGCCTGGAGCCTGGAAAACTACAGACTCAGTTTCCTCATAGATCACTGTACAGATCCCCTCCCCCGCCCCCCCTCCCTCCTCTCCCCACTTCCCAGGGGACATGGGGAGAATAGCCAGGATAAGGAGTTAAGGGAGACCAGATTCTGGATTTAAAAATAGTCCTGGAGCTCTTTTTTTTTCCGGCTGGAACCATGGAAGGTACAGAAGAGAAGAAGAAGAAGGTTCCTGTTGTGTTAGACACTCTTAAGAAAAAGTGAAGGAATTTCGCAGAGCTGAAAATCAAGCGCCTGAGAAAGAAGTTTGCCCAAAAGATGCTTCGAAAGGCAAGGAGGAAGTTTATCTATGAAAAAGCTAAGCACTATCACAAGGAATATAGGCAGATGTACAAAACTTAGATTCGAATGGCTAGAATGGCAAGAAAAGCTGGCACCTTCTATGTACCTGCAGAACCCAAATTGGCATTTGTCATCAGGATCAGAGGTATCAATGATGTGAGCCCAAAGGTCCGAAAGGTGCTGCAGCTATTTTGCCTTCGCCAGATCTTCAATGGCACCTTTGCTAAGCTCAACAAGGCTTCGATTGACATGCTGAGGACTGTGGAACCATATATTGCATGGGGGTAGCCTAACCTGAAGTCAGTAAACGAATTGATCTACAATCGTGGGTATGGGAAAATCAACAAAAAACTAATTGCCCTGACAGATAATGCATTGATTGCTCAGTCTCTTGGTAAATGTGGCATCATCTGCATGGAGGATCTGATTCATGAGATCTGTTCTGTTGGAAAATGCTTCAAAGAAACAGACAACTTCCTGTGGCCCTTCAAATTATCTTCTCCATGAGGTGGGATGAAGAAAAAGACCACCCATTTTGTAGAAGGTGGGGATGCTGGTAACAGGGAGGACCAGATCAACAGGCTTATCAGAAGGATGAACTAAGGTATCTACCACGGTTGTTTTTGTAATCTGGTCAGTTAGTAAACAGGAGCTGCTTTAAAATTGAAAAAAAAAAAAAAGTCCTGGAAATGTTACGGCTGGAAACTTGTACCCCCTCCCTGTCCTTCCTCTCCCCTCATGCCTTGCTGATGCATATCTCATACTCTACTGGGGGAGCCCAAGGCCCGCTGGAATGTAGAAAGAAAGGTGTGGAAAGTTTTTCATGTTCACCCATCTCAGATGTGTCTCAGAAGGTGTTGTACACTGAGCTAGGTGTGGCTCTTGCCTGCTGGGGAGGGTGACTGGAAGACCACTGCAGATTCCCTGTCACCTCCTGGCCTCTGTGATGCACCAGGAGTGACTCAGACCTGCTTTCCTTCCAGGTGGTTTATTTCACAGCCACGTTTCCCTACCTGATGCTGATCATCCTATTGATTCGAGGCATCACACTTCCCGGGGCGTACGAGGGCATCATCTATTACCTGAAGCCAGATCTGTCTCGCCTGAAGGACCCCCAGGTAGGAACCGTGCTGGGGAGCATTGCCCCGATGTCCCTTGCTGCAAACCAGGTTTGTACTTTAAAAATCTTGGATTATTTTCTTCTTGGTTTAAAGACAATAGATGTCCACTGGAGAAAAATTAATATGGAAGAAAATTATGAAAAAGGAACTGAAAATCTCTTGTAAACCCACCACTCAGCTGCAACCTCTATTAGCATTTTAGTATATTTCCTTCCTGAAGGAAGGAAATTTCCTTCCTTCAGGAAGGAAATATACTAAAATGCTAATAGAGGTTGCAGCTGAAACTTTGTCTCACTACATGTGTATGTGATAAGATAGTTGAGTAATAGATGTAATAGAGGTAATAGAAGATAGATGTAATAGAGGTTGCAGCTGAAACTTTGTCTCACTACATGTGTATGTGATAAGATAGTTGAGATAATTATATATAGAGATACATCTTTTTTCACTTAAATTATATTGTAAGCATGTTCCATGTTATTAAATTTATTTATAAATGTCATTTTTAACACTTGCATAATATTTCCTCTGTTCATCATCTGTTCATTCATTCATTCATTCAACCAAAATGTCCTGAGGCCCCATTAAGTGCCCGGGATTGCGGTGGTGCCATTGCAGTGCGGTGGGCGCGAGGCACCGGGCTCTGCGCCTCTGAGCGCTCACACTTGCAGCCGGCACTGCCACTTCCTCAGCTCTCCCGGTTCTTGGACATGTAGGTCAGGTATTTTTATAATTGTATATACAGCTGCAACAAACACCCGTGTTTAAATCTTTGACCACATCTCTGATCATTATTTCCTGACAGTAGTTAGATGTGAAATTACTAAGTCTCAAAGAGTGTGCACACTTTAAGTTTCTCTAACTGTACTGGTTTTAGAAAAAGGTAGACTTTCACCGCCAGTGTTTGAGGGTACCCTTTTTTCTGCAGGGTCCATGAGAGATTCAATTACAATTTACTGCAATCTTTGATAATTTGACAGGTCAAAAGAATAGCATGTTGTTGGTTTAATTTTCTTTTGTACTACTGCGAGGTTGGACATTTTCCCACATATTTATTGACCTTGTGTTTCCTGCTCTAGGACTTGTCCGAGCACATTCTTGGTGTATACTACCCACCTCCTTACCAGGAGTCTTGTTTGTTTCTTTACATTTAGTGGCACGGCCCCTACGTCCCAGCAGGGCTGCTGAGGCGCACTCTGCTGGAGAGTGGGTGCAAATGCAAAGGCCTCTCAGCTCCCCTCCAGAGGGCCCTGCCTTTTCTGGAGTAAGACCTGGGGTGACAAACTCCACCGAAGAAATTCAGTAACACACTCTTATTTGGTGCTTACTCGGGCCCACAGAACCAGGTTAACAATGCTCCCTACTTGTGAGAGGGTATGTTATGGAGAACTGGGGTGTAAGCCACTCTCAGGGAACATTGACCGGGCCAGCGGGTTGTGTGGTGAAGGGTCAGGGCTTCCGGCAGCACTAGCTCCAGACCCTGTGGGGCTCCCTCCGCTCTCCCTCACCACTCCCTTGGGGTGTCCCGTAGGTGTGGATGGACGCGGGCACCCAGATCTTCTTCTCCTTCGCTATCTCTCAGGGGTGCCTGACAGCCCTGGGCAGCTACAACAAGTTCCACAACAACTGCTACAGGTGGGGACCCTGGGGAACCCGCCTGCCCTTGTCTGAGGAGGGGGGTCCCGGTGGTAGGCCCGGCCTTCCTCCTGTATTATGGGGAGCTATAGGGTGTGGGAAATTGGCATTATGGGCTCATTTCCCAAACTGAATTTCTTTCTTCCTCCCCTTTCTCTCTCCCTTTCCTCCCCTCACCTTCTGAAACCCCATCTTTCTCTTTCTCTTCCCATTTTTGTTCCCATTCACTCTTCCTTCTCTCTCTCCTCTTTACACTCTTACTGTCTTCTAATCTCTCCTCTCGTGTGGATTTCTTTCTCCTTTCTTCCTCCTGTTTTATCTGCGTTCACCCCGCCGGCAGGGACTGCATTGCCCTCTGCTTCCTGAACAGTGCCACCAGCTTTGTGGCCGGGTTTGTGGTCTTCTCCATCCTGGGCTTCATGTCCCAAGAGCAAGCAGTGCCCATCTCTGAAGTGGCTGAGTCAGGTAGGTGCCCCTTTTCTGTCTGGAACCTGAAGGGAAGGAGGGCCAGAGAACACAGATCCTCCTACAGAAAAGCAGGGGCTCTATGGCCCTTTGAGACAGTGCTAGGCACAGAGCAGGGCCTGCATAACCATGGGAAGAAGGGGAAAGGGGTGGGATGGGGGGATGAACCCACAGATGCATGCATGGATGGAGAAGTGTGTGGACAGATGGACAGCATGCTTCCCAGAACCTGGGAAGAATAGAATAATGAATAGAATCACACTGTCCTCTTGAACTACCCACACCACACACATATGCACACATGCATTCATGCACACATATACACACTCTTGTACGTATACTTGTGCACACACTCAGGCATACATACACACATACTCGTGCACGTGCACACATGATATGTGCACACTCGTGCGTGCGCGCACACACACACACTCTTGCACACACTCATACACACTTGTATGCACGTACTCTCATGCACACATGGTGTCTCCAGAGAGGGCCCTTCCCTGAGGACAGTGAGAGGCTGGGGCTCTCCTGACTGCTGTGTCCTGGCAGGTCCCGGGCTGGCCTTCATCGCCTTCCCCAAGGCTGTGACTATGATGCCCTTATCCCAGCTGTGGTCCTGCCTCTTCTTCATCATGCTCATCTTCCTAGGGCTGGACAGCCAGGTTCGTCACCCCACCCCAGTCCTGCCTAGCCCTGCCCTGGTGACCGTCTCTTCAGCTTCTGCATTTCCTGGTTCTACCTTCCTTCAAATTCCCTTTCTCCTGACCTGACAGTCCCAGGCCCTGTCCACTGTCCAGGGCTTGTCCTTGGGGTTAAGTAGGTGGCCCCAGACAACGAGGCCCTCTTTTGCTAGGGGCCACTTGCTTTGTTCCTTTGCACCGAACCTGCCCTGTATGTGGCTGTGCCCTCCCAGACATCCCTCCAGCCTCCTCCCAGCTGCTCTGCTTGAGCAGCCTACCCTGCTCCTGTAGCCTTGGGGACAGAACACATGTCCCCTCTCCAACTGTCACTGCTGGGACCCTCTGTTGCGGATATGTGGCCGAGGGCAGAGCTGGCCCAATTTCTGCCCTTTGCACCCTCCCTGTACCCCTGTGAGTCGGCAGGGGACAATGGGGTGAGAGGAGGTCGGGGCAAGGCTGTGCTGGGGAGGCCCAAGGGCAAGTGGCCCCTCTCACCTCAACTTCCCTCCTGGCCCACAGTTTGTCTGTGTGGAGTGCCTGGTGACAGCCTCCATGGACATGTTCCCCAGGCAGCTACGGAGGAGCGGGCGGCGAGAGCTCCTCATCCTGGCCATTGCGGTCCTGTGCTACCTGTTAGGGCTACTCCTGGTCACTGAGGTGAGTAGGGGCCATGGCCGCAGGCTGGGCTCCTGCGGGGGAGGGAGCCATGGGGGACCCTGCTGACCTTTCTCAGAGCCACACTTTTCTCATCTGCTAAGTGGTGGGTGGTGGGTGGTTGACACCCTTGAAGTGAGTCTGTAGGGACCACACCACAGAACCCGCCTGTGTTCATTAGCTCTCTTTTGGTTTCAAGTGACAGAAACCAAACGCAAGCTGGCTTAAGCAGAAAGGGGAATTGGGGGATCAAGTAGAGATATTTTGTTTTAGGTACGGTTGGACCCAGTTGCTCTGATGACGTGGTCAGAAATGCCCCTCTCTCTCTCCTGGTTCCCCTCCCCTCTAGTGACTGCATTCTCCTCCAGACTGCCCTCCTGGCGTTAAAGAAGGCTTACCCTATGCCCCTTGTGTGCCCTGAGGAGAGAGAGCGCCCTTTTCCTGAGAGCTTAGCCCGTGCCCAGCCACGGCTCTTCAGGCCTGGAGCAGGGAGCGCGCTGGTGGGTGGGCAAGACAGTGTGTGTCCACCACAGGCCCCAGTGCCCTCGCAGGTGCTGGAGTTGTTGTCCTAATGTTCAATGAGGGGTCAGAAGGCAGGCAGAGGTAGGGCAGACTCCTTCAGAAGCAAGGAATAACTTCCCATGGGCCTAGGTGGGTGTTTGCCCTGTTGCTGTGTGGTGGGGTGCGTCCCCTATCCCCACTGGCCGAGGCCTCAACCCCTGACCCCTGTCCTTCTCCACAGGGTGGGATGTATCTCTTCCAGCTGTTCGATTATTACGCTTCCAGTGGCATCTGCCTGCTCCTCCTTGCGATGTCTGAAGTAATCTGCATCAGCTGGGTGTACGGTAGGCGGGGGAGAGGAGCTTCTGGAACCCAGCTAAGGGGAGGCTTGCCCAGGGTTAGAGACAGGGTGTGCTAGCCTCTGGTTCTATATGTTTTTTGTATTGCCATCCTGGTTCTTTTTATTTGGGAAGTTTATCCAATGCCAGGAACTCGGGCGTTTCTCGTTAGACAGCTAGAGCAGGGATAATGGCCATGCCGAGTTCCTTGAATGGGGAGGGTCATTATGAATAACAGTGGACAGTAGTTTGTTGGTTTTTGATACAGAGGCTGCCAGAGGTCCTTCCCCAGTGGGAGCCGTGGTTCAAGGGCCACTTACTCTGATCCTCACAGATTCCCACAGTCCCTGTCAAGTTTATCACCCAGACTTTGCTTGAACACTTCCATGAACAGGAAAGCCATTCCTGTTTGAGGTCCCTTCTCCATGGTGGCTGTTGTGCATTTCTTTCTTATGCTGAGGCGGAGTGTGCCTTCATTCACCTCGGTCCACTCACCTCGCTTTTTCCCACACTCCTGGCCCCTCCACTCTGAATTAACTAACTGGGGTGCTGAGTGCCATCATATCCATGCTGTAATTGTGCCTGGTGACAGTGGGGTGGAAGCCTCTAGCTACTGAGCCCATGCACTGCTGTGCACAAGCACTTGCCACCTCACAGTCCACCCAACAGCCCTTTACAGGGGAAAGTGGGGCTCACAAGGTTTTGGCTCTTTCCCGGGCTCACACAGCTGGGGAGTGGAGAAGCTACCATCACTCCTCAGTTCTGCCTGGCTCCACTGTACCAGGTTGGGTGGACACATTGCCAACGTCACAAGGCTCAGGGCAGAGAGGGTGAGGGGTGCCATGTGCTGGGGCCACAGGACAAGCAAATGTGAAAACCTGAGGACATTAAATAAAACCAAACAAAACCAGCCACTGTTTTCGTGCACACAAATGAACCCTTTCCCCACGCTGCACTGAGAATGCAGGGGGTTCCTCTGGAGTTTAGAATCAGACCTGCCAGTAGTGACCGGCCCTCCCCTCCCCTCCCTATCCTCTCCCCTCCTCTTCCTGTCCTTTCCTAGTAGTGACCTGGCCCTATGCTTGAGCAGTGGCACACTTGCTGTTTTGCTATTTTGACTTGAAACCAAATTCACCTTTGCTCTGCAGATAAACAAACATTTAGACAGTGTTGAGCCCCATTTCAGGCTCACACCCTCCTCTGTGGCTAGGACAGTGCGGTCTTCATCCCAGGACAGGGGACAGAGACTGCACTGGGTGGGGTGGTGACCCCAGGGCCCCCGGCTCGTTGGCAGCAGCTCCTTCTCCATCCCCAAGTCCCTGGGCTGAGTCAGGGTGGCGGGCACCCATCTCATTCGCATGCTCTGATCCAGTGCCCCTCACAGGGTGGGGGCACATGCACAAAGCCAAGTGAGTCCTTCCCAAACCCCCATGAGCTGTTTTCTATCCTTCTGTTCTCATTCTTCCCCCACTCTGCCTGGCAGGGGCAGACCGTTTCTATGACAACATTGAGGACATGATTGGCTACCGGCCATGGCCCCTGGTAAAGATCTCCTGGCTCTTCCTGACCCCTGGACTTTGCCTGGTATGTGCCCACCCAGCTGCCCCTTGATTCTCTCCTGCCTCCAGCAGACTTGGGGGGGACGAGGAACAGGATGCCTGAGTTCTGGGCTCTGTCCCTGACTGTCCAGTGACTTGGGAGGCTGGTTATTCTCTCTAAAGTATTGGTTCCTTGCCCTTCCTTTCTGGGGCCATCTCTCCATGTGTCCACTTTACCTTCATATGCTCTATTCCAATTCCTGCTTCCCCCTTCCCCCAGCACCTCCACCTGTCTGCCGGACTCCCCGTTATTGCTCCCCTTGTCTGCCTAGAGCTCTCCCATCTCCTGTCTGTTCTCAGGCTTTGATGTGAGTGGTGCCTGGGCCCACGATTTGCAAATGGCTTTTGCTCGTCCACCTCACAGAGGTACCGCAGTGGTTTAACGTGTCCCGTGTCACTGGTTACTTAATTCGGCAAGGAGGGAGTCTCAGGGGCTCTCTCTCTCTCATCTGTGTCTGCCCCTCCGCCTTTCCAGGCCACTTTCTTCTTCTCCTTGAGCAAGTACACACCTCTGAAATACAACAACATCTACGTGTACCCTCCCTGGGGATACTCCATTGGCTGGTTCCTGGCTCTCTCCTCCATTTCGTGCATCCCACTCTTCATCATCGTCTCCCTCCTGAAGACCCAGGGCTCCTTCAGAGAGGTAGGGGCTGGGGGAAGCGACTCATTGAAGAGGGTGCAGAGCGAGGTGGGACTCTGGGCAGCACGTGACCACGGGGCCAGCTCTGAGCGAGGGGCCACCCCTCGGTCTCAGGGAACCTGAGAGAGAAGGGTCTTTGCAGAGCAGTTCAATAGTTTCATTTTCAGAAACATTCAGAAGTTTCAGAGCCCTAGACCTTCAGAATCTGGCCTCTAGAAGATCACCTGGGCAGGTTAACCAACAGTGAACTGTCAAAGGGTTAAGGGGAAACTGCACAAAAAGGAACACATCAGGCCGGGGCACAGAGGTTCACAGGCAGATTCCTCACTCTCAGGAAACTGATAACCTGGCTGTCGTGGCTCATTCCACACACAGTCTTCCGGCTTCTTTCCTTGTCTTAGCCCCGTCTGGGGAGCCGTGTGCACAAGGCGTCCTGTCTAGAGTGTGGGACGTGCCTTCCTAGAAGGGTGTGTAGCCAGTGTCCCACAAAGACATTACGTCCATTGAAATCTATCTGACCTGCAAGTGGCAGAAAGCTCAACCTGCAATAAGTAATGAGGCTTATCTTTTTCTTACACATCAAGATCAGAGACAGGGGTTACTGGCATTTCATTCAGCTGCTTAACGGGGCCAATAGGGAACAGGCTCTTCCTGTGTTCCAGCACTGCTGTCGTGAGCAGGTTGTGTCTTCATCCTATGCTTGTCACCTCATCATCATAAGAAGGTTGTCATGACTCCAGCTACCACGTCGGCAGTCAAGGCAAGAAGGGGGAGAAGATGATACCAAAAACACCAATAACAATAGTCATGTAGTAACACTACTAGTAAAAATGATAACAGATATTGAGCATATAAGAGTAATACTATGAAAAATAGCAATAATAATAATAACAAAAATAGACAGTAATCGATGACTTATCCTGTGCCAGGCACTGTTCTGTGAAGTGTGCGCTCTTATTAGTCTCATTTTTACAGATGAGGCAGAGAGGGGTTAAATGGGTTGCCTAAGATGGCACAGGTAACAGAGGAGAAATAGAACCCAGTTCACACTCTTAATCACTATGTTATTGCCCTGTCTCACAATATTTATTGATTTATTCGCTCATATGGTACTGAGCTGCCCCCATGTTCCTGGCTCTGTGCAGGCCCGGGAGATACAGACACAAGGAAACATCTTTGCCCCTCTAACCAACCACTGGCCCTCATTCCCTCTTCCACAGCGCCTGCGGCAGCTCGTCACCCCTGACCCCAGCCTGCCACAGCCCAAGCAACACCTGCATCTGGATGGTGGCTCCGGCCAGGACAGCGGCCCCTCCCCAGTGAAGGAGGGACTGACATCTGGGGAGAAAGAGACCCACTTGTAGGATGTGGCTGAAAGCCAGGTGGCTACTGAGCCAGGAACCTGGGTCAGGGCCACCCTCTCCCCCAGTGGACAGCCTTTGCCTCTGTTCCCACCACAGCCCTGCTGAGAACACTTGTGCTGCCTGTGGGCAGCCCCAGCTGAGGCAAGACTCCCTCCTCTCCTCTTCTCTACTGGAGCAGCTTCTCTTGGTGGGCTGAAGATGGTCCTGCTGGAACACGCCATGCTGTGAAGCGGCTCCCTGTTGGAACACACTGTCTTATTTATGCAGGAGGGTGGTCTTTCTGGAGTTCACCATCTGATTACAACACACTGCGTTGTGAGGGATCTCCCACAGCAGGGGTGTTTCCTGTTAGAGTTTACCATGTTCTGCCTTGGGAAGATAGTGCCAACTGGAATCCCTATCATGATCTGATTCAGAGAGCGTGATGGAACACACGGTGTTGGAAGTGGCAACTGAACACGCCACATTGGGTTCTGATATTCCGTGAGAGGGTGTCCTTCACTGGGGTTAGCCTCCTGGAGTCTAGGGGCAGGAGACAGGGGACCAGCCAGGAGGCAAACGTTTGCGTGCCGTCGTTGTGTTTGGTTTTCCCGGAGGCAGTCTCTCCCGGTGCTCCTGGCTCCGAGCTAGTCCTGCACTCTTCCCGGAGTGTTATTACCACCTTATGCAGAGTTGGAATGGAAGGGACTAACAGGTGATCCCTGGACTTTGGGCATGTGTGGTGTGTATGTCCTGTGCCCAAGATGGACATTGCTAATTGATCATCAATTCTTCTCCACCTCATAATCCTTCAAATACAGTGCTCCAGGCAGCTCCATTTGTCGTTCTGCTTTTATCCAAACCCCCGGCTTCATGGATGAGGACCAAAGAGACAAGTGGCTTTCAAGTTCACATGCCTTGGCACCAAAGACACAACCAGAACCTGGTCTTCTGGTTCTCAGGCCAGTGTGGTGCCCACTACCCACTCCTGCCATAGTTAACAGGCATGTATGGACCGCCTGCCCCATGCACTGCCTTCTGTACCTCTTCCCATGTCTGGTCAATCACACTGTCTCAGGGTGGGAGGGAGAGAGGCCCCTCCTTTGAAGGGGTGAGTAGCTCTACCTAGATTGTTCTCCCCACCATGGTATTTTCTCTTGCAGCCCCCACTCATCTGACCAGATTTCCTCTCTGGGTCCTTTATTTTTTTTTAAATCCTCACCCAAAGATATGTATTTTTATTTTTATTTTATCCTCACCCAAGGACAATATTTTCATTGCTTCTAGAGAGAGGAAGGGAGAGAGAGAGATACATCGATGTGAAAGAGAAACATTGATTGGCTGCCTCCCATATGAGCCTGGACCCAGGATCGTACGCATGATTGTGGACAAAACCTAGGTATGCGCCCTGGCTGGGAACCAAACCCACAACGCTTTGGCTGTAGGACAATGCTCCAACCAGCTGAGCCACACCGGCCAGGGCTGGAGGATATGTTTTTATTGCTTTTAGAGAGAGAAGAAGAGAGGTTGAGAGAGAAACATTGATTGGTTGCCTCCAGTTCATGCCCTGGCTAGAGATCTGAGGACCATCTCTGCAACCTGTTTGATGGATGGGATGATGCTCCAACCAACTGAGCCATCCCGCCAGAGCTGAACCCTTCTTCTTGCCACTTTCTATCTCCCTCCCCCAGGGGAATCTTCGGGGTCTGCCAAAGCCCCCTGGTCTCAAAGAGAAAGGAAGTTGTATGTGGGTGGATTGCTCCTTTCCCCTTGGTCCTACCAGGTCATGCAGGTCGTTCCCTGGCTGGAGAAGGCCTTCTGGAGGGGGGAAGGCAGGGCTTGTGTTCAGAGGGAAGTGAGGAGAGGGAGTGGGGGTGGCATTCAGGATGGTTTCCTGGGGCAAGGCCTGAGAGCTAGAAGAAAGGAAGTCCCCTGAGGGGAGTGATGTGTGGGTAGATGTCACCCAGAGCCAGTGCCCAGTGGCCGGAGTAAGAAAAATCTATGGTCTGGCCAGGGTGAGGTCCGTCTCTGATAGCCCCAGGCCATCCCCAGGTCACTCACCATCCTTTGCCTAGATATGCAGGTGCTTCTCAGCTTGTAAGAACAGGTCTCTGGCACACTGGGCACAGTTCCCTTTTACATCCCTTTGTACTGTCCCATGCGCCTGTGTTCACCTTTCTTGGACTAGTCGGGGGGTCAAGAATGAGGTACAAGAGGAAGGGATGGGGAGAAACTGCTTCAATCAGATCACTCTCATCCCTGAGGCTGGGGAGGCTGGGGCAGGCATGGTGCTCTCTGCTGCCTCCTGGTGGTGAACAGGAGCAGTGCGTCCTCCACAGGCCCCACCTGAGATCGCCTCAGCGCTGTTGACAAACAGGAGGAAAGCTCCCTGACCCCTGTCCTCAGGATGGATGGACAAGCTGAGCAGCTATCTTTCCTGTGTAAGCTTTCAGCCTCTGGAATACAGAAGGATGAATCCCTCATCCTTCTCCACATGGCCCGGGTGGAGATCCCCAAGAGAGGCAGCTTGCTTTGGGGCAGCCAGCTGCAGAGGACATGCGGCCCTCCCGCCAGGCTTCTCAGCTACCTGTCTCTACACACAGTACACCCTGCTGTGTAACCCCGGTTCTGGCAGCCTGGAGAAGAGCATTTCCTGTTCTGGGCAGTTCTGCACACTGGTGGGGCACAAGCTCTCTCTAGCTCACAGGGCCCTGAATCTCAGTATCCATGTCGCTGCAGACTGCTCACAGACACCATCGTCCCCTCCCAGCTTCCTCACCTCACACTAGTCCACCAGGTCCCCTGACTCTGAACTCACAGCCTGTCGTAGCAGGTCTCTGCTCTGGCACAGGCGCTGCTGGAGGGAGCATGTCTTCCAGCCCCAGTACGCAGCACAGCGCTGCCAAGGCCTGTGGGTCCTAGGGATCTGGATGGGGCAGCTTGGTGCTGGAGGAAACAGGGAGAGGGACTTCTGGCCAACTTCACATCTCATAGGAGCCCACTCATCCTGGGTCCACAACACAGGCAAGGAGCAGCAAAGCTGGCCCTTCGAGGTGCCCAGAACACTGACACACATGTGTGTGCATGCACGTGTGTGCATGCATGCATGTGCACACAGAGCAGGAGAGCAGGTGTGGGGTTAAATTGGGAATCTGTTTCATCTTGCCTCTAAGGCTGAGTTTCCTAATGACGGCCAGAGGCCTCACCTGGCAGCTACGATTTGTTTGGCCAGTACGTTATACATAAAGAAAAATTTTTTAGGTGTATGCCTTTTGGTATTCTCCAGTTTGCTGTAGGCTCCACCACTCCCAATGACCAGACCCGAGCTTTTCACACATTCGTGTCTCAAGGTATTTGCATGCATAACCTGTGCCCTAGGGGATGGACTGAAGAGCCGGGCAAGGCAGGAACCAGAGCCCTTGCTTGAGCAGGAGGGAACCGAAGGCCAGCGGTCTCAGGGGTCCCCGTGCCTGGGCAGGGGTTAGTCATGGGACAGCCGCCAGCTCTGGCTTCTTCACCTGTGGGCGTCCACTCAGCAGACCCTCTGGTATTTATGAATCCCGGTCGGTTTCCCCCTCCCACCTAGGCTCTTCACTTTCCCAAAGGAAGTGTCAGGCCACTGTGGACCCCTCCCCACCCTTGGCAGAGCGGATAGCAAAGCCACAAAGAACTCTGTTGGTTTTTCTGATGTTTGAGATCACTTCTGCCTCCCAACCCCACCAGTTCATCCAGGTGTGCCTAGGAATCATTCCCCCTCTCCCCTTATTTTAGACAAAAGCACGTGATCTGACTGTGGCACTGGCTTCTCCATCTGTGAGGCTAAGACTGTGCCCCCTTTTCTCCACACCTGAGCTCCTCCTGGGATTCCCCACATGTCCCCCAGCCCCCAGGCTGGGTTTCTTGTGGAGCTGACTCTACAAGGTGCTAGTGTCTTGGGGTTTGTAGCCGCCAACCACTCACCTTGGTTCTTCCCTCTATCTCCCTTGACAAGGCTGAACCTGGGCTTGGACACTTCCTCTCCCATCTCAGCTGGGAGCCCCTCCTCCATCCAGGGTGTGGGTTGCCTTGGTGGGAGCTGAGGAGTCAGCTAAGGTATGCTCCACCCCCAGCACCAAGGCCAGGAGAGCTCGGGGAACTGAAGAGGGCCTTGAACCCTGCTGAGATTGAAGCCCCAACCCCTGATGAATGGACTTTTCGCATGCAAGATTGTGGTCTGTGTGTATTAGGTTGGAAGGGCACTGGCCTGGGGAAATTGTTCCCTATCTAGCTTGGCACCCCACCTTTACAGCCTCCCACCCCATTCCATGCAGGGCCCCCCAAAAGAGGGCCTGGCTCTGGTTTGGGGCCTCCAGGTATTGCCTAGGTTCCGCCTCCAGCTCACCTTCCAAACCACCCTCCGGGTCCAGGCCACCTTCTGGCTGACCCTAACTTCCGGCCAGGGTCTCATGCCCACTGCCCCCAGGGACAGGAAGCGCCAGCTGCACCCTTCTGGGCTGTCCCAGTGCTGCCCAGGGCCTGGGCAGGTCTTGGCCCTCAGATCAGACCTCCCCCCACTCCCGCAGAGAGAGAGAGAACATAAGCCACCCAGCCTGTCAGCCTTGTAAGCCCCTAGCTGCGGAGGTGAAGGACAAGGCTATGGGTGTAAGATTGGGGGCAAGAGAAAGGAACAAAATCACGTGGTGGCCAGAGGGACATAGGCTGTTAGGAGGCCTGAAGGAGGGAGGGATGGATTCGGGAAGAAGGAGCCAGGACTGGGGTTTGTGGGGAGTGCCATAATCAGAGGGCGAGGCTCAGCTCACAGGCAGGCTGGCACCTCGTCCTGAACTGGTGGGACGCAGAGGGAGGTCCCTGGAGAGCCCCGTCAGCCCACTTCCCCCTCCTCCCCTTAGAGCCCCCAAGCTCTTCACCCCCGCTAGTCCTGCCCTGACCCTCAGTGCATGTGGGGGAGGAGGAGAGCACCAACTGCAGTGAACTCACAGAGGCACTAAGAGTTCAGCACCTTGAACTCTTGGATCGCTGGTTCTGAGGGCAGCCGGAGTGAGGGCCCCATGCCACAGGGACACTCCAGCAGCCTGGTAGGGAGGCCCGAGCGGAAGGAGCTGAGCGGCCACCAACTGGTCGGCCAGGGGAATGGCCGCCGTGGAAGTGCATCCTCCAGCCCTGGTCAGGCCTTCATACCACGGCTGGCCTGGCTGACAGTGACTGCAACCTTATGAAGGTCCTTGAGCCAGAACACCCAGGCAGGTGGGCTCTGAATCACTGGTCCATGGTGAGAGAGAAACAATTTATATTATTGTTTAAGCCATGGAGTTTTGGAGTACTTTGTCAGCAGCAGTAGGTACCTGATGCGGGTCCTTGGCTTCCTTGAGTATGAGAACCACCCTCTTTCAGGGTGGGGTGTGGCCCCTCATCAGAGCATGGTCCCTCAGCCTCTAGGAAGAGGGGACCTCACTGGTGCTCTTCCTGTCTGAGCCCTTTGCTCGTCTCCCAGGACCTCACCACCTCTGACCCTCCATAGCCCTCCGGACCCTGGGCCTGGCCCTCTTCCCTCTGCTCTGAGGCACAGGAGGCCTGCCTGCCTCTCTCCCTGCCACTCCAGTCCTCACATGCCTGCTCCCTGATGACCCAGCACACGTGGCTTCCCTGCCACTGTAGCTGCTCAAGGAAGTAACAAGAGCTGATTGTACTTGACAGGGATGAAATTCTCATTAACTGCCCATCAGTCCCTGGGTTTCTTAATAATTCAGAGAGGTGGGGGGAGGACAGCAGAGGACTGATGTGGCCTAGCCTGGCAGGTCTCTTGGGGCTGAAGTGGTTTGGTGGCCTGGGTCCTGGCGCCCTGCACTGCAGCATGCTCTGCTTCCGGGTGATAACCAGCACAGGCCGGTGGCTGCTGGTATGCTCTGAGGAGCCTCCCAGCCCTGGCACCGGGAAGGTCAGGAAGGCGAGCACATAACTGCTAGGTGGGGCACTAGACAGAGAGAGCAGGGCTCTTGACGGCCTGGGTCCCTCCACAGAGTTTGTGCCCAACTCCACGGCTGCAGTGAGAGTTCTTTCAATTCCCTGACACACTCAAACTCTGAGGCTCTCCACCCACACCGTGTCAGTGACCCGCTGAGGGCAGCTGCAGGGCAGCGGCAGGGCCCTCCCTGGTCCTGAAGCCAGACTCCGCAATCCACATCATCTTTGTAACCAGCAGAGGACAGGTCCCTCCCAGCTCCACTCAT